GCCCTTGAGAGTAGACTGACTGTGTACACTGTACAGCTCTGTGGAGTACATGGTGAAAATGGTGACAGGTAACACCTGTGTTTTCCAAGTAAAGCAAGGCTTCTTGGAATGAAAAATGAAGTGTCTGAGTGGTCGTTAGTTCTACTTTCTCCCATGGTTCATTGCCAAGATATGCTTCACTTTAATGTTTTTGCTTATGGTGTCTTACTTTGCTTTGAATTGGTCATAACGTTTTGCTAGTCCTGTCGTTCTTAGACTTCTGTTCAGTGTTAGTTTATTGCAGAGCTTTATCATTAAGTACTGTTTCTTGTGTGACTTTATGTGACTTCATACTTTGCCGTTCTGGTGCGAGTGCGGCTGTTCAGGCCTCCCCCGAAGGCAATATTGACTCCCTCCTAAACGTGTGAGTCCATGGGGAAAAACACAGCCCCCTGTCAGCTGCATGGTTTCCGCAGCGAGGAGTGGTCTCCCTGGGGGGCGCCGCGGGAAAACCCCTGCTCTCGCGCGCCTCTGCCCACCAAGGTGCAGTCGACATTCCCCCTTCAGCGCCTCCCCCGGGTGCTAGCGTCTCCCCACCCGGAGGGGTGCTCCACTACCGACTTATCAACCCGGCACATGATTCCAGTGCTGTGTTAAGCTTGTGAAATTCTTTTGCTGTTTTATCATCTAGGCTGTAAATTACATTTTGTTGAGTTACTTTCACGTTATTTATTTTATTTTTAAGGCAGAAAACTACAAATTACCTTAGACATTGATGAGCCACGGACACTAGCCCCTTATTTCCAGCATTTACTAATCGTGATTGCTGATGCACTGAAACAAGCCAGCCTAAATCAACTACACAATTAATGTACCTAGTTACTGGATTGAGCAGTTTTTCGCCACTGCAGAGTGTGCAATTAATTCTAGAGTTCAGAGATGCACGTCAAAGATTCGCACCCAGATTATTGAATCTTAATATGGCCTGTAAGAATTTGGCTAAATGTCATTAACTTCTGACTTTCTTCCCTTTTGTGCTTGACCTTTATTCTGTTTCATCCCTTAGAATAAATACACAGAAGGTCACTCTGTGCTCAGTTTGATTGGCTGGTCTGGCCCTTCTCAGTTTGTGAAGGTGGTACCTTCCCAGTCCCCTTTGCATTCATGTGAACCTCTTCTGCACAAGCTGCCACATCTGGCTTAATGGGATGTAGTGGACTCTCTAACCTCCTCTCAAAACTTTAGATGGGAATGGGGTAGGGCTGACAAAGGACTTTGCTTATGTGTATATATAGTAAATTCCTCTTGGAAGATTTCCTGAAGCTTCCCCCTTGATTCCTCTGACTTTTTACAGTTTTGCATTGCAAACATTTTAAATGGGATTAGAGCATTTGTATCACAATAATCTCAGTTACTGGTGACACTCAGCATATGTCATTTGTCCTGGATACTCAGTGTTTGGAATCAGGTACAAAAGCCACTTTTATCCCCTACTATTGAGCTTTATGAATAGATTTATGACCTCATCAGCTGAGCGAGTTAATTTAATTAGTATGACTGCTTTGCTGTCTTATCCACAGGATCTTGTGCCATCCTCTCAGGTGTGAAATTCCTAAGTATAGACAGCTGGGATCACAGGGGCTTAGCATGGGGATGTGTGAAGCAGCAGAAAGGAGGCCAGATGGTGAAGACCTCCGAAGGCACAGTCCTCTTTGGTCTTGCAGCTATGTTAGATTCTGGTCTCTTCTGGTGTTTAGACAAGTTCTAATTATGGTACTGATTTATTTGAAGCAGAATAAATGACTCAAGATGTAGCTGTAAAATTTAATGAGGATGGAAGTGTGTGAACAATCTGACGTCCCTCAAGTTCTCCTTTCATTCAGCTCGACTCGACAGTTCCTCTTCTCCTACCAATCAGCTGTGCAGTGAGCCTGCAGGTGTACTACACCCAGGTGCATTCTTTGCATCAGTGGTGGGTGAAGTGGATCCCTGCCAATGGCCAACTTGCTTGCATTGGTATAGCACAAGACGAGAACTTTTGTAAGTCGCTTTCTAGCAGAGTAATGACCCCAAGCATGGTGCCGCAGCCACACTGGAATGGTTTGACAAGGAGAGTGAATGTCTTTGAGTGGCCCAAAGTCCCGACTTTGCACAAAATAACTGGTGACCGTTGTTTGTTAGGAATCGTTGATGGAATGGAAGTGTTGTATGTTTTGCTTTTCTCCCTCCTTCATATGTAAGTGTTAATTACAGTTTAAAGTACTTAAAGTTTGAGTAAATTATTTAATCAAAAAATGATTAGAAGGGGGGTGAATCTGGCAAAGTCTTGGAATTTAAAAACAAATATAAAGGCACCTTATATGGTTTTCAAATTCCGTTTCTAAAAGTGTTTTAATGTTTCTAGTAGTTTGATAAGAGCCAAACCCCTACTGATCAATTGCATGGTTGACAAAAGCTGAGTTTTTCAGATGTCTCTAAATGCATTATTAACGTACATTTCAGTCCTAATAACTTATACATTAAGCTTATTGCACATTACACAGCTTATTAGCCTATACAAATTGTAATTTTCAGCCTCTAGACTGTCCCAGGAATAAGTGTACTTTTCCAGTGTGAGTCATCAGTTTATTTGTAGCACAAAATCATGGGAGAAAATGCATTGCTGCCAGATTGCTAAAGGTTGTCAAACATGCTGGTTCCTCTCTATGCCATAACTAATCTGGTTATTTAGCTTATTAGATCATATTTGAGCAGATGTAGTAATTGAATACCTTTTTTTTTCCTCGAGCTTTGTCCTTGTTTCATTTTGGTGGGTGTTCCCAGTCAGCGGTCGATGGCTCAAAGGTTGTAAAACTTCAGCCGGCTTTACACGTGAAAAGATGTCGAACAGTACGTTTATCAGATGACCTCAAGCTTTCTGCTTTGTTTCTCTCCTCCCTTTCCTGTGGGTGACCGCAAGTCACATGGGGGCTGACGATGGCGCAAGCCATTGATGAACTCATCTTTGGCAGAAGAGTCCTCAGTATCGATGCGCACCCATTGAACTGTGCTTGGCTTTGTGTCTGTTTTTTTGGCATCTGGTAGAGATTATTCTCCCCCTCAAGCAGATTTCACAAATGTTTTAGGCTGTGAAGCTTTTGAGTACTTTTTCGCTGGTATCTTTTATAAGGAGGACTCGGAATCGGCAGCAGAGGTAGTGGCTCGTCTCCCAGCTTGTCGTTTGCTGACGGTATTCCATCTGTGGCTGCTGGGACTTGTGGTGACCGAGCCCCACCAAAACTAGGAAAATCGGATTCCAAGGAATTGTCATGGAAGTCCTCCCTTCGTGGGCCTTTTTTGTGCTATGTTTTATTTTTAGTCGTGACGGGGTGAGACGGGTGATTTCCACACTGGAGTTACACAGTCGTCAATGTGGGGAGCTTGCTTGAATGCTAGTGGCTCCTGTACTTGTGGTAATGCTGTTGAATGTTCGGGGGGCATTAGAGGTGACCAAAATTCAGGTTTCCTGGCAGACCGCGTGCAAAATATAATATGTTACTAGCCCTGCAACAAAAACACCTAAGAGCTTGTTAGTTCCATTACAAGTTCTCTGTTGCCAAGCAAATGCACAAACACTGGCACTCCTGCTGTCAGTTTCTAGCTGTGGGATTTAATAGAAAAAAACCACAAGGCTGGGGATAACGCCTTCAGGTAATGATTCAATGCTCCCTCTGCTGATGACGGAGCAGCATAGTGCTGGTCGTACGTGTCATTTTTCCTTTTTTAACTTGTCGTATCACGTTTTTTGTTCACTGGATTTCGCAGGCAGTGTGTTTTTGAATTAGATTTAATTGTGCCTGTGTGTCGCTGTCTCTCATGAGGCTCGGGCGCTCTGTCTTAGTGCTAAAGCTGGGTCACTGATGGGCCGCAGCTCCTTGCTGGGTTTTGCTGGAACTGCAGTGTTGAGATTCGAAGGCTGTGCTTCAGGGTGCACAAGAGGAGAAATTTAAGATGGAATTGCGATAAGGCTATGCACGGGTTGAGTTGTGGGTCCAATTTTAAACTTCACAAAGAACTCCACTGCGGTGCCTCCGAGTCTTGTGATCATGAAATTGTTGAAATTAACTCTATGTAGTTAAATGTGGGTACACAGAGGCCGCAATTGTTAGTCTTGTAGGCCTTCCGCTGGGTGGCATCTTTTCAGGCACCTCAGTAGGTTAAGGACATCAGATTGCTTTCCTGACTTTGGAATGCCCTTTTGTGGGGTTCATCAATTGAAAGCATCTGATGAGACTCGGGGTTACTTTAATCATAAGTTCATATCATCAGGTATTAGCTGATGTAGAGGTCAGCCTGCATTGTAGAGGGTCTTTGAATCATTGCAGCTCTTACTTTTTCATCTGAGTTATATATTGCAATTTGAGCAAATTAATTTTAATGTAACACTCCATAAAACCTTTGCAATAGAATAGATGCTCAGTATTTTTATAACCGTTTTACCTTTAAAGGGGAAACAGTTTCTCTTCTCCTTTCTAGTAAAATGTTGGATTCACAAAATTTGTCTTCAGCTTCCGGCTTGCATAATTATGGAATGGGCAGAGCCCTTAAGAGGAGTATTCGGAGGAATGACTTAATGGTGCCTCATTATTTAACTTTGGTTGCTGTGTAGGCTCCAGGGCTCTTGCAAACTATTCCATAAAAGCCGTGCTTAAAATCCGGTTTGCATCTGCACTGTCCAAGCAAACGGTTGTCACTGTCATCCATTGCTTAGACTTGTCTGCTGCGCTGCTCTGAAGTTTTAGATTTTTAATTAAAAGCGTGCATGAAGCAGCTCATGATCTTTGAAAATATATATGAAGCAGGATGCAGAAGAAGGGCATGTACTGTTTTATGCGTGTAATAACCTGTCAGCTTTCGTGCAGCTCATAAACGGTATAAATATGAGTGCAACATCCTTATAGTTGATCAGTCCTGCCACATTTCAGCACAGCGTCTCTGTGTTCCTTCCTTGTCTTACCAGTGGTCTTCTCTCCCGTTCGCAGGCACCCCGGAGCTTCCTGTGACTGCCCTCTGGACGAAGCGCACCTGGGAAGCAGGCAAGGCAGGGCGAGGTGATCGACATGCCGGCAGAGGTCAACATGTCTTAAGCTCCTGCGATTGTGTTCTGGAAACCCTGTCCCCCCCCACCCCCAACCCCCCTTCCCCAGCTCCCCTTCGGACCCCTCCCTGCCTTCCCGTTCAGGACCCCGTGGATGTGACCCACGAGGAGGGACGCCTGGCCCGCACCGGAGACATGAGCCTGCAGAAGCACCAGCAGATGGGCTCCGACCGGGACCTGCAGTCCGCTGCCTCCTCCATCAGCCTGCCCTCCGTCAAGAAGGCGCCCAAGAAGCGCCGCCTGTCTTTGGGGTCTCTCTTCCGGCGCAGGAAGGACCCCAAGCGCAAGTCGCGGGAGCTGAACGGGGGGGTGGAGGGCATCGCCAGCATCGAGAGCATCCACTCGGAGATGTGCAACGACAAGAACTCCGCCTTCTCCGTGGCGGGGGTGGCCTCCACCTCTTCGGCAGCCTCCTCCTCTTCCTCCTCCTCCTCCTCCTCCTCTGCCGCCGCCGCCGCCGCCTCCGTCAAGGCGGGCGGGGAGCTGCTGGAGTGCCCGCTGTGCCTTCTCAGACACTCCCGGGACCGCTTCCCGGAGATCATGACCTGCCACCACCGCTCCTGCGCCGACTGCCTGCGCCAGTACCTGCGCATCGAGATCTCCGAGAGCCGCGTCAACATCAGCTGCCCCGAGTGCTCCGAGCGCTTCAACCCCCACGACATCCGCATGATCCTGGGCGACCGCGCGCTCATGGAGAAGTACGAGGAGTTCATGCTGCGCCGCTGGCTGGTGGCCGACCCGGACTGCCGCTGGTGCCCCGCCCCCGACTGCGGGTAAGAGCCCGCTCCGCTCGCAGAGGGGGGGGCGGGGGGGCTCTCCGCCGTGGCCTGTGTGGGATTTGTCTTTCCTGAGGGTTTTGGCCTCATGAACCGAGCGCCGTTGAAACAGACCGCGTGATTGCTTGTTATCACCGAAGGGGCAGTGACCCGGAGTGCACAAACACTCTGGCCTCTTTAACCTTGTCTGGATGTTTGTACATGGTGTACTCATCCTTTAAACCCCTCCAGGTACGCACTGGGCTGTACCCCCACCAGGTTTTTGATCTCTGAACTTCCTCGTTGATTGGAATGTCAATCCATTTCCCCCCCCCCCCATTTGGTTTCATATTTATAACTTGTTGGTCTTTGAAGGAGACAGCAGATGTACTGTCAAGGCTTTATATACACTTAACACATCTGGCAACACCTCTTGATTGGGCTCTGCTGGTAATGTTGGTTAGAGCAAGTGGGGAAAATGCATCGTGAATTAAGAACACTTGTGTAAAAAAAAAAACTTAAATGATTGGCGGGCAGCTTTTTCAGTTTTAGTATGTGCATCATTATTATCTTTACGAATGGTGTTAATTTAAGATGCATGCAAGCGAAATGCACAATGTCACTTCATGCCTGTGGGGTGCCTCTGCATTTTCACAGCCACCACAGTGAACGCAAAATATTTGCTGATGGAAAGTCTGCAATTGTACGTTAAAAAAAGAATTGTCACATGGGCTGCTACACAATAGTAAAGTTTCACTGCTGCTTATCAATCAACATTTACAAAGGGTTTGTCCGGGACGAATTTTTCTCTGGCCCGTTTTGCAGTAAGGAGCTCTGGCGTGATGGTACGATAATGCCAGGTTGAAGTGCTCTGTCACTCCATGTCACTCCTCCATCTGAACGAATCTGTTGTTCAACCCGCTGATAATAGGTTAACGATATTAAGGACATCCAACAAAAAGATTAATAGTTCAGGTGGGTACCTGTGTCAGCATGCGTAGCCTGCAAAGGAACAAGTAATAGGTTTGTTCCATGCCGAAAAGAGAAGAAAGAAAATGTAACGTTTAGGCCGTGGAGCCTTCTTCAGATGAAGATGCTCACACCTGAAGAAGGCTCCACGGCTGAAACATGTTTTCTTCTCTTTTTAGCATGGAATAATCCTATTAATTAATAGCATGAATTAAGGTGCAAATATAAGCCGATTTTGTCCACTGCTTGAGTTGTAGATTAGAATCTTCTGAATTATGAGCAACTAATGTCTGATGTTATCTATAGACACTAGTAACTTCTTAGAATTTCAGGCTGCAGTATGGTTATGTAGACTTAAAGCTGACGTGTTGGTGAATTATGAGAATTCACGTCTGACTGTAGCAGTGTAAAATGTGTATTTTAAAGCAACTTTGTAGGAACTTCACATGAGCAACACCAGTTTTGCAATGCAGTTCATTTGCAGCAGAGAGTGAAAGCATGGGTTATGTTGCGAAGCCAAACAGAACTGTTCAGCTGTTTCACTGTTAATCCCAACATAGCCTACTACTCCTCCGCACTCTTTGTAAGAAAGAATGCTCTGCTGTTCGGCCATGTGTCCACGGCTCAGTCTCCCATTCCCACAGCTCTTCTTGCTGTGGTTTGGAAAGAGCAGTCTGTCTGCCTGCAAAGCTGTGCACTTTGTGCCCCCTCTGCACCGGTTTCTGGGCAATCTGCCGTAGCAGCCAGGAGAAGACGTCAGCCGTGCACACGGTTCATCTTGGTGGGAAAGACCAGCAGTCTGACCTGGGGGGCGGGGCTGAACCAGGGCTCTCCTGGGGGAGCACTCGCTACCAGTCTCCTCCGTTAAAGGAAGCTGTCGGAAGACCTCGGCTCGTGCTTGTTCAGGGGCGGGGATTTTAGTTAGGAAGTGTGTACTGCGTCTGTAAAACGCTGTCCGCTAAGGGCACTTATTACCTTGGAGCTGATGGAATCTGTCTGCAGCAATATCTTAAAGCACCGCAGCAAAGCAGTTTCTCTTTTGCAATGTCCTTTTACACGGGAGAGGAGCAAACTACGCATGCTCTGAAGATGATCGTTTCCGACTATGGCCTGCTGAGGGCAGACCTCAAAGATTAACGCTGGCCTCTTCTGTTCAGAAGTTTTCAGTTAAAGTGGATATGTTACGGTTCCTTTTTAGCAGTGCTTTTTTGTTTTTTACAAAACCTATTATGAAACTGGCAATAACTGCTCATCAGACTATGCTGTAGAATCCAGGCGTTACAGCTCCTTGTGGAACAGAGAGCGGAGTCTAGCACATGTTGAACCCTCTATTAGACCGGCTGCATGATCTCAAGGCACCGGATGCGGTTTGTGTAGACGTGGTAAATAAAGATTTTAAGTAATTTGCTGTACCAGCCTTTTGTTACACTGTACCTATTCATTTATGTCGCAGAAACTGTGATCGTTTCCCCCATCTTTGTACAGTAGTTAAGAGCAACCAGTTGTGGTGGCGCCTTAGCCTGATCTTGTCAGAGCTCAGAATCTGAGCAAGACTGGGCCTGATCTGTGCCGAGGTGGGGGACCTCTAAAGCAAAACCACCCTCGTGATGAGGCATTCATTCAATTTTCTGTCTCTTTGATCCTTAAGGATTCAATGACTCTGTGGTTTTTTCCACTTCCTTTACTTATCTGTTGAATAGTGAGGGCTCTGCTGTGGTAGTGGGGAAATAGTGCATCCCTTCCTTTATGGAAAAGGTTTTGGGATCCTTTGGGATGCAGAATGCTATATGAAAGCAATTAGTTAATGAGGGTTATCACTGCATTCATGCCGATGGACGTCTGAGATAGTGTTATCAGGCTCGTTGCCTGTTCTTACAGTGTGATTGGGTTGGGAAGCACAGTGCTGGAGGTCCAGGTGTGCAGCTCATGTTTCCCACTCCTGCAAGGGTTCTGCAGCCTCCCAGTCGTGCACCGTGGTTGCTGTTGAGTGGTGAAATGAGGAAAGAGTAACTGATCATACTGCTGCTGCTAACTGCTAATCCTCTTCTGCTCCCAGTGGCAGCTAGGAGCCTCTCTGCTGCCTCCCTCTCTCCCAGCTGCCTTTGCAGTGTGTATTGGCATTGAGCTTCTCCCAGAAGTGTCTGGATAGAGCGTTCAGATCTTGATTCAAAGTATATGCAGAATGGGACATGATCAGAAAGGGTTGAATGCTCTTGAAAGGGGCTGCATTGACAGAACTTTCTCAGGGTATGTGTAGTTCATGCCTGTGGTGTTCTGTGCTAAATGATCAGGGTTTCTTGGTGTTTGAAGTGGCTTTTTGTCCTCAGATGTTCCTCATTCTTTTTTTTGGTAAGCGGGTCTGACAACCTTAGCAGAAGGAGGGGGAAATCTTTTTTACGGTTCAGATTTTTCGCTCTTTTCTGGCCACAGCCCTGTGGGCCCGCTTCTCTCGCGGAGCGGTCTGAGCTTCCTGCTGTGTGCAACACGGCCTGCCACCCATGCTTTCCTAATCACGTGTGTGCCGCTCTCGGGAATACAGAGCCTTTCTCTGCAGCCTTAGCTGAGGCTGTGCGACAGTGACCCTCTGAGCCTTAGACCCAGAAGTGAGGGCGTAGATCTTCTGTTCAGAGCACAATGTCATGCTTGTCCTGCGCACTTTCTTTTTTCAGGTGGAGTTTGCTGCACAGTACATTGACCCTTTAAAGAGAGGTCCTGAAAAATGCCTTTGAAATGTGCTTACCAAGAATGCATGGGTATTTACCAGCAATTCTGTTTCGTTAGCATTTGGGTTTGGAAGAATAATACATGGCAATTCAAACAAGTAATGGCTCTTCCAGTGAGGATTCTAGTGTGTTATCTAGACTTTTGGCAGGATGGCTGTTTCAGGTGATAAATTGTGAAAGGCAGAAACTTGAAACCGGATATTGATTCAGGTTCCCATCGTACAGTTCTTGATTCTTACAGGGCTGTCATCAGGTATACACGCAAAACTAATGGTAACCTTCTGTTGATCTGTAGTTCATCCGCGTTGTTTGAGAACATCTCCGTCATCTAGGTTTGGGATTGGAAACTATTGCATATTAACTTAAACAAGTTCTGACAATGTTTTACATGTGTACACTTGTTTCATGTTCGTGCAGTGTTCTGTTCTCTCTCCGTCGCTAGCCTGTCACTTGAAATGGGATGTGAGGATGTGGAGTTCACATTCTGAGGCTTTATTTCCACTTTTTGGAATAAAAACCTCTTCTCTTTGCAATTAAGTGCATGTGTTTATGCAGGCGCCAGTAGTGATCTTTCATGTGGAAGCAGTTTAAACCTGGCCCTTGTGTGAGGGTGTATTTGCCTGCCCTGTGAAGGACTGTCCGGCGTGTAACAATTCCTTACACTTCTATAGCGTTTTCTGGACACACCACTCAAAGCATTTTACAGGTAACGGGGATCCCCTCCACCACCACCACCACCACCAATGTGCAGCCCCACCTGGCTGTGTACCCTGCCTCGTGCCCGTTGTTTGCCAGGATAGGCTCCTGCTCCCCCTGACCTTGCATTGAAGTGGTTAGAAAATATAGTTGGGTATTAAAGCTATTTTGTCTTCCTGCACTGCAACAGAAAATAAATCCTTACCAAGTTAGACTCAGGACATTCTTGGGCTTTAAGGAGGGGGACTCTTGTATTTTGAAGTAGGGGAGCATAAGAACAGGAATTCAGAGCCAAAGAAACTCGAGTCGCATTTCATTTTTTCTTTTCCATGCAGCGGGTAGGGGCCGTTCTCTTCAGATGAATGAGCTTTTTCTTCCAGCTGAAGGAAATGAAAAAGGTTCACCCCGATTGTTATTCCACCCCAGTTTCCTCTCCAGGCGCTCCTTTTTCTTTCCTGGCTCATTTCTGTATTAGGCATACCTGTAAATGGAAACTATTAGTTCATTGAGTCAGGGGGGAACACATCTGCTCCACATTTTCCTCTGGAAACAATGGGCTTGGCTGTGCAGCTGGGAGATGTCTTCGCAGCTCCGGAGCTGCTTGTTTTTGATCCTTTGTGGGGAGCAGCCGGGAATCTACGGGTCACAGAAAATACAAACCTTTGCATGGCTCCTGCACTGTGTGACACGGATCGTTGGAGCGGGGTTCGGGAGTCGTCCGTTCAAGACGGCAGACGAGTGTTGAACTCCTTTAAGCGGTTAACCCCTTAATGGTCATCTGCTGAAAGCACCAGAAATCAGTTGAGTGGCCGGATCCAGAAATACGCCGAGTTCTCGTCGAGGTTTCTAGCAGACCGCTGCATGCTGAAGGATGGAAGTAATGTCATCACGACTCTCACATTAGTGCTCTGTGTGGTTTTTGGAAGGAGGGGCTAAGGTACAGTACTTGAATGAGAGAAGTCTCTGTAGCCAGGAAATCGGACCAGTCACTCTTTATCTAATGTTTTTCAAAGGGCATACTGTCACTGCCAGTGGAAATCTTTTCTCTCTACCTCTACTGTGTCATGAGATGAGAGAAACCCACAGTACAGTCCGCGCTGTGCAGCATCCTCAGTGGCATCTTTGCGATAAAAGACCACCAGGAGTTCCAGAGGCTTCGAGTGCAGGAATTTCTCTGTAGGTGCCTCGGGTTAGGTCTCTGCAGTGTCTGATCTTAAATGTATTTATTCAGCCTATTCTTTTATCTGAAGTGGTTCCCATTTGCATCTGTTTATTCAGCTGGGTATTTTACCAGGTGTCACATGGGATTTGAACCCACAACCTTCCTGTTATGGGTCTAGATCGCTAACCACTACTCCGCACTGCTGCCCCATCTTACCTGTAGATTAAAGGATGATACTCGTATAACTAGGTTGGTTGGTGCTGTATGATTTAAGACCTTATTTTCCCAGTCTCTCTACTGGATACTTTCACAGCCCCTGCGAGTCCAGGGCTCAATCAAGCATGGGCTTTTGACACACCCCTAGGCTGGGTGCGCTGACTCTCCACATAGCAGAGATTACATTTCTCCTGACTGTAGCAATTAGCCCTCGCCCACCCAGCTCGACTACTGTACTAATACAAACTTTGCCTTTAAACCTGTGAAACCTAGACCTTACTCCATAAATGTTGTCCTCCCCTCCCCTCCACCCCATGCGCTTATGCTCTACTTAGTGTGGGATGTCATTGGTTATAGAGGAAATAATTCCCCTTGAATCCCGGATGTGTGTGTGTTCCCAGGAGCACTATTTCTTACTTACGAGCAACTTAAGTGGACTTCATTGGGGTATCGGGAATGGTATTATTGCTATTTTTACCACAGAGCACAATTAAAAACCCACTTGATGCAGAAAGGAATTTTTAAATTACTGTCTACAGAAGAAAACTTTGGCTGCGCACCGTTACATTCAGCTGGAGTTCGAGAAGATTAACCATCTCCCTTCTCCAGTTTGGCGTCAGAGGAAGGTTATAGTTATATCTGCCAGAAAGGGATGGGCTGCGGCTCTTGGGAATATTAAGAAAAACAGGCGGGATTGCAACAGGACTGCACAAAAGCAAAGCAGGAAATCGATTATCGCGCATCCTGGTTGCGCTGTACGGTAAACGTACAGATCATGCCACAGCTTGTTGCACTGAGAACTTGCACACTGGTTTTCATGGCTTCTTGCCTTTAACAGAAGTACCATTCCTGGATGTATTCCTCTGCAGGTGTATTTGGAGCAATTAAAATAACAGACAGGACCAAGTCTATTTTCTGTTGGTTCTGATTCTTACAACAGTGCTAAGGGAGGTATTACAGTTTAGGATTTCTAAGATGGGTAAGACAGGTATCGTTAGGTAATCCTAATGATCATATAAGGTTTAACTGAGTAGGAACAATATGCTGGCAGTTACCTCCACCTCATGATGTTGGAGATCTTACCTGCTGTTGCATTGATTTACATGTGAATACACTCAAATCTCAACCTCTGTGATAGCCTTCAATAACTGTGTTTGTATTTTGAGCAATACTTTAGTTCTAATTGTCTCAGGATTTTTGGCAGGGGAGTTTTACTTGTATTAGTCAAGGGGTGAAATTAATGTACTTTGAGATGCAGATTGCTTCTGCCTGTGGGCTCTTCATTCCAGTTGCCTTTATTCGCACCACAATAGAAATGTTCCACGCAGCTGTCTGGCATGTGAATAATTATGCAGATAAGGGTCTGCATTTTATCAGCTGGCCTCATTAAATGCGTTTTGCCAGGCTGAAAACGATATCCTTCATCTTGAGGCTTGAAATCATGCAGAATGAGCTCGGAGTGAAGTCATTGCCGGGTTAGGTTTTCCTCTCATCTAATGACAAGACTTTTGTGTGAACTTGTCCCGCATTTTTTTTTATTGAACATCCCAAACCTGAGTAATCAGTCCTGTCTTTGGTCCTTTTATTTCTCTTTGTACCCTCTTTCCTTCTCTGTCAGACTTGCTGTCCCCTCTCTTTTCTCCTAATTTCACAGCCCTCTTATTTTCCGTCCCCACCCTTCAATGGTGAAGATGAGCCCACAGAGGTCGGAGGTCCTGCTCAAGACTCCTCTGTTCAGAGAGGATGTGTGAGCTCAGCTGTTACATACTAGGTCCTGTACACTCGCACTTTATTGCATTGGTGAAACCCTCCAGCTGGCAAGGTGATGTGCACAATGAGCTTACCATTAGGGTCATTTCCACTGCTGCTGCTGGAGTCAGCTGTGACCTTTCTTTTTCACATTGAATAGTGCACCACCTGAGCTGCGCTTCCAGCATGTGCCGACTTGACCACACAAGGTCAGCCTGTAGGTAAAACCTTGGGATGATTCACGTGACGGACTGGTCAGGCCGACCTCCGTTTTGAAATGAAACACGGGGGGGCGCCGATGCGGAGGGACGCTGCTGTGTCACGTTGTGTTGCAGTACCAGTGGTCTGGAACGGTTTCGGCAAGGGAGTCGATGTATGCAAACCTGCTGGGCAGGGTGGAACGCAATCGGGTGTTCAGCCGGAGGTGGACAATGCCATCCAGAGTGTGGGCACTTTCCTTTTCCTGACAGCTGCGGGGTCTCCTGCCCTTGCCCCCGATGGTGCTTGGAGCTGCAGTCCTGCCCCCCGTGGGAGCCTGGGGCATTGGGCTGGCGCTCTTCGGCTCCACCCCGCCGGGGCCTCCTGAATGGTTACGCAGAGAAACAGTGCCACGGCTGCTGTCGTCTGCATTTTATCGGCTCTTCTAATTCCGTTTTGCCAAGGTGAAAACCATACATACCCCAAATACTTTATGGGTCACAATTACATCGAGGAGGAAGTGAAGATATGGATAACTGGCCACAAGAGAAAAGGCCAATAACCTATGATGTAATGGTTGCATCAATACCCCTGGTCTTGTATCTGTGCACCCCCGAGGTTTAATGAAAGACACTGCGAAGGGGATTTAAAATTTTGCTCTGCTGAAGGTCTTGCCCATCTTTCCTCTTTCCAGATATGCAGTGATTGCGTTTGGCTGTGCCAGCTGTCCCCGGATCACCTGTGGGCGTGAAGGATGCGGCACGGAGTTCTGCTACCATTGCAAGCAGATCTGGCACCCCAACCAGACCTGCGACGCTGCCCGGCAGCAGAGAGCCCAGAGCCTGAGGCTGAGGACCATCCGCTCCTCCTCGCTCAGCTACAGCCAGGAGTCCGGGGCCGCAGGTCTGCACTGTCAACGATTCTTCTGTTGCTCCGTTCCTGGACTGTTGCCTTACTGCCTGCTGGGGCCTAGAATTAACCGATGGGCATCCTTGCACACTTGCTTTAGAGGACAGAGTGGAATGGATGTAGATTAGTACTTGTTGTGGGCCATTTGTGGAAAGTGAAAGTCAGGGGATATTCTTATCCCATAGCTTTTATAAGAGGGTTACTGGGAATTGTCTAAAAAGAGCTGGGCCTTGTTTTTAAAGGCTTTACTGCATCATAAAATTGTAAACATGAACACGATAGGGTTCCATGTTATTAGTGCTAATTCCTTGTGCCATTTGCATTCTGGGTGGTGTTTTTTTTTTATTAAAATGTGGTCATAACTTAGATTTACACATTCCAGGTTGCCCACATCAGGTAGTCTGAAACATTGCTGTCAGTTTATACCCCTTCCTTTAAGCCCGCTCTGGTGCTGTTCTCCTGTCGGGGGGGGGATCTGTTTGCTTGTGGGGTTTTTTCTAAACCCTTTGGGCCTCCTGTGGGGAAAAAAGTGATGAAAGTGCATTTTTCGCATTTGGCTGAGTGTAGATGGTAGGAGCTTGTTGGCCTGAAATAAGCCGGGCTGCTCTGCAGTTCTTTGTCGCCCGATCGATCGCAGCTGCAGCCGGTTGTCCCAGAGCTGCGCAGGTAGAAGCCATGGAGCAAGAGGGCAGCTCAGCGTGTGAACGTGTGCAGCAGGAAGGGAACCCCTCCTGGCTGCGAGCCGGTTACTTGAGCATGTCAACTTGGACTCTGACTGACAGAAACCTGCATGTGCTCTCATCTAAAAACTCTAGGTCATCTGTGATTCTTAATTGTGACAAATTGAGCTTGAGGTTTTATTTAGTGTCACGTAGATCACATTTATGCTCTCAGTGAGTGATTTTATTCTTGTCTTTATTTAAATCAACTTGGACTTGTCGTTTGAGCTCAGAAGTTCAGTGTTGTTGCATTTTAAATCTACAATACAGAATTTTTGATAAAGTGCGTAGAAGACACTGGCGCTGTCAGACTGGGGAAGGATCAGGCTGGTGCTCAGGTACTCAAACAGCTTGAAGTTATCACATGGTGGTAGCGCACAGTTATCCTTTACATTAGGAACCTTTTCCTGTCGATCCACTGAGCTTTCTGAATTTCACTGGCTGTGCTTCGGGTGGTCCGTCTCCAAGACTGACGGAGGGCTCTTGTTCTGCAGCCGATGACATTAAGCCCTGTCCCAGATGTGCCGCGTACATCATCAAGATGAACGACGGAAGCTGCAATCACATGACGTGTGCGGTGTGCGGCTGTGAGTTCTGCTGGCTCTGCATGAAGGAGATCTCTGACCTGCACTATTTAAGGTAACCCAGCGGGCCGGGGAAGAGAGTTTACAGGACACTCGGGGGGAAGGGGGGGGGTGGTGATCTTTCTCTGCTTAATTGACAGATGTACCTAATTGTTTAATTTAAAAAACAATAAGTTAAATGTTACTTGTGAATACACAGGAACGGTTGTGGCGCCCAGCTGTTCGCCCTGAATTGTGCAGCAGGGCGTGGGCGCTGGTTTCAGGGCAGGCGGGTGTAAGGTGGCTGTGGGTGGTCCCAGGCGGGGTGCTCTGTCGGCGCGTGTCCACCAAGACTGGCTTTCTCTCCCACAGTCCGTCGGGGTGCACCTTCTGGGGCAAGAAGCCCTGGAGCCGCAAGAAGAAGATCCTGTGGCAGCTGGGCACGCTGGTGGGCGCCCCCGTGGGGATTGCACTGATCGCTGGCATCGCGATCCCAGCCATGATCATCGGGATCCCCGTGTACGTGGGCAGAAAGGTGAGTTAACCTGCCCTCCTGCTACCGGGCACGGTCGCAGGGTTGCCAAGAAGCTTTTGCCTTCCATTCCTCTCATCGCACAGAGAAAGGAAATGGCGAGTGCACTAAAAACCTGGCTTTCAGAGGGGTTTTTTTCCTTGTAAATTGTCTTCTGCAAAACTGTTTGGGGGGGTGCAAGCCTGCAAATGGTTTTAGATGCCATTAAGAGGGAAGATTGGCAATATCAAACAGTCCACACGCTTTCATTTAGAGAAGTGAAAATCCATTTCTTTTCTTTCCCCAAGCGGGCAGCAGAAGGACTGTAGGCCTTGGTTACAGAACTAATGTCGTATTGTAACCAGTAGTGTAGTAAATGCAAGCATAAATGAATTCCATGTAGGAATGAAAAACTAAACCCCCTGCATTTATTTGTGCATAATACTGTGATAGTTTTATTACACTTTTGCAATATAGAAGTGGCTTCTGAGTACATTAGAAATCCTCTGCCCATTGTAACCATTTTTAAGTATTATTTGTAGAGTTTCGTCCAAAGACTTGAAGAAAAGGGACAACAGTAACTTATGCAGTGGAGGATTTTCTGATATGAGCTAAAGTGAATAGTGAAGTACCTTAAAATTCATTCCCAGCAGAAAGAAGTGCTTAGCTTGATTGGCTTTTCCAGGCTCATTGGTGCTAACCATCATTCATATAAACCATACAATTGTCTGCATGGGGTTATCTCCCAATGTAAAGAAAAGAGATCCCCCAATCACTTTTTGCTGCAGTAAGCAATAGAGATTGCACTACTTTAGAGGTCCTGTGTTTATATCTGTTCTCATTACTACTTTGTAAAAAGTTCTGTAATCGTTTTTTCTCACCCGATGTTTAAACGATTGTAAAACAATGCCCGAGCGTTTTACAATAGTAGGTTATTTCTCACGGTAAAGTCTGTGCTTGTTTGTCTCTTCCTGTAGTGCTCCCCTTCCTCCTCCTGAGCCTACCGAATGAACCTTTTCTAGCTGGCTGGAGACCTGGATTTGAACTCTGGTTTAGGATGTGAATGAAATACGCGATTTAAATGTCCTTCCTTTCCAGATTCACAATCGCTATGAAGGAAAGGATATCTCAAAGCACAAGAGGAACTTGGTGATTGCTGGTGGTGTGACTTTGTCTGTAATAGTCTCTCCGGTGGTGGCAGCAGTAACTGTTGGTAAGCACTTTCCTTTTATGGGTAAAGCAGCACAATATAAATGGATAATAAATAGCCCCTCTATCCTGTTTTAATGTAGGAATTGCAATGTCATTTTGGATCAGAGGAGAAAAGGTCGCCCAAACAAAAGACTGTTTGTTCGCTCAAGCTTGCATGTTCAGTTTCTTCATTCATTTCTCGCCTTTTGAAAAGGCACATTCCTCGTCGTGGACAAGCGTTTATCTGGGGTGATGCATTCCCGAGAAGTTCTGTCGGGAATCGCGGTTTGTCATGTATAATATAGGCATTGCGAGTTTGAGCCTGGATCACCGAGAGTCACCTCGATCGGCGTGAAAAAGAAAAACAAATCGCAAAGTTTGCAGGTTACAAATCAAAAGAGCGTAGATACAGAAAATGACCTGGGACTGGCCGGCCTGCCTTCCCGCCTCGCCGAGCTCGTTCTGGTCCTCGCGTCTTCACGAGCTCGGCGGCCCAGAAGGGGCGGAAGAGCCGCCCGAGCTCGGGTTTCTGGGAAGGCCCGTCTCTGGCGCGTCCCTTCTGAACCAGTGTGCTCGCTCGCCTATGGGAGAGGAGCCGCGGTTAACATCCCCCCGCTTGCCTTGCAGGTATCGGGGTGCCCATCATGCTGGCCTACGTGTACGGCGTGGTGCCCATCTCCCTGTGCCGGAGCGGGGGCTGCGGCGTCTCGGCGGGCAACGGCAAGGGGGTGCGCATCGAGTTCGACGACGAGAACGACATCAATGTCGGGAGCGGGACCGCGGCGACCGGTGAGTTGGCGTGCGGCGGAGCGCATCGCGAAGAGTTGTTGATTCGCCCGTAAAGACTAACTTCACGTCTGGGCTTCTCCGGAGAATGGGCCGGAAAGGGAAAATCCTGCGTGATGCCAGTCAGCCGAATGTTTTTCTGTTGCTGCAGAAATGTTGGCTTCGTGATGTGATGAGCAAACGGCACCAGACAGTTCAGGCAGGAAGAGGGGCTTCCGGGGGGTGGGGTGGGGTGGGGTGCCCCTGGCACAGAGCCGTGCTGTTGCTGCTTGTGCCCCAGGTGGGCGTCGGGAGTTTTCGAGCTCCGGCCCAGGGATCCTGCGGGGGGGGGGAGCTGAACGGGGGGCCCCCGCGGTCCTGACCTGCTGCCGGCGTTGGCCGTTTCAGACACCACCTCCGTGGCCGAGACCCGGAACAACCCGAGTATCGGAGAGGGCAGCGTCGGGGGCATGACGGGCAGCCTGAGCGCGAGCGGCAGCCACATGGACCGGATCGGCGCCATGCGGGACAACCTGAGCGAGACGGCCAGCACCATGGCCCTGGCGGGCGCCAGCATCACGGGGAGCCTGTCGGGCAGCGCCATGGTCAGCTGCTTCAACAGGTGCGCCCTGCGCGTCCGCTCTGGGGGGGGGGGGGGCGGGCCCTTCTCGCTTTAAACGCACACTCGCGGCTTTCTTCCGAGAACATCCCGGCCGGGTCCGCAGGCCGCTCTCGGGTTGTGGTCTCGCGCGGGTCATTGTTGTTTCCGGCTGACGCGGGGATGTCCGCTGCCGACTCTTGCAGGCTCGAGGTGCAGGCCGACGTGCAGAAGGAGCGCTACAGTCTGAGCGGGGAGTCGGGCACGGTTAGCCTGGGGACAATCAGCGACAACGCTAGTACCAAAGCAATGGCGGGATCCATTCTCAACTCCTACATGCCTCTGGACAGGTGAGGGGAGAGTCGGCAGTCTGAAGCCACGTCTCTTTTTGAGCTCGGGAGCGTTTCGGTCATTGACATCCTGTTAACTCGGGCCAGGTTAAAGGAAAATCCCACAACCGCCTTCCTGTTATATCAGCTAGATGACGTTAGTCATTGTTTAAAGCCGAAGTGAAATGTCAGGAAATGGGGGAACGTCATGGTTCCAGGACTAACATTTCACCATCGGGGCCGTGTGCAGGGCTGCTGACTGGAACCTGCAGTACGCTGCTGAGCTTCCTTGACTATCTTAGTTCGTGCTTTTGTTTTCTTGTGCGTTGATTCCTACTAATTCTGCTTGGTGGTAAACTTGGATCTTCATTCTAGAAATTGCATTTATTTCAGAGTGCTATAATTCAGTTTTCTCCCTAAACCACCATAGGTCACATTGCTGCTATTCATTAATTCATTTCACTCTTTGTACTGAAATAAGAGTTTTACTGAGGTGGGGTTAAAGTTAACTCCTCAGCGGGGATGTTTTCACCCTGTAGCTCATTCACAACATACTGGGCTCTCAAATGTTCCCAGGGTACAATTGAAAACACAGCTGACTCTGTTCTCTTCACTTTTGGACATGTTAATGGGCAATTTTAATATAATTCTAGTAATGTGAATATCTTCCCTATTCATTCTAAATGGCTTGTTCACTGCAGTGAAATATTCACACCACCTAGTGGTTACTCGTGCCAAAGGTTCATCAAGTCCCAGATTCTTACTGTTCAGCTATTGTGGGAGGATAGACTACAGCCAGATTCTTAGATACTTTTTGTCCTAGTAGGGCTGCGATGATTCTTTGCTATTAAAAATAAACAGATCTTCTTTACATTTTCCATTTGCTGGCCAGCCCTGAGTTCCTAGCAGAAATCTTTCTGCCGAATGGTTTTCCTCTCCAGAACTGGCCCTCGGCCAGAGGGGATAATGACTTTACCACCAGTTCGTTTCGCAGTGCGCTGAAGTCCTGAAGGCTGTTGTTTGTGTTGAAGTTGTCCCCCTCCCCCCCGTGTGCCTGCAGAGAGGGGAACAGCCTGGAGGTGCAGGTGGACATCGAGTCGAAGCCGGCGAAGCTGCGGCACCACAGTGGCGGCAGCAGCGCGGACGACGGCGGCAACCCCGGGCGCAGCGGCCCGGCCTGCCCGCCGGAGGGCAAGGGCAGCGCCGCCAAGTGGGGCAAGGAGGCCGGCGCGGGCAAGAAGTGCAAGGGCAAGCTGAGGAAGAAGGGCAGCACCAAAATCAACGAGACCAGGGAGGACATGGACGCCCAGCTGCTGGAGCAGCGCAGCACCAACTCCAGCGAGTTCGACTCGCCCTCCCTGAGCGACAGCGTGCCCTCGGTGGCGGACTCGCACTCGAGCCACTTCTCCGAGTTCAGCTGCTCCGACCTGGAGAGCATGAAGACCTCCTGCAGCCACGGGTCCAGCGACTACCACCCGCGCTTCGCCGCGGTCAGTCCCCTGCCCGAGGTGGAGAACGACCGGCTGGAGAACTGCCCCTCCCAGGGCACTAGCCCCTTGCCCCCTGCCCCCGCCCCTGCCCCCTGTCCTGATGGCGCACCGCTCTGCCACATAGCGGAGGAGAATGTCAATGTTGTGAATTCCACTGAGATGGACTCCAACTCTGGGGAATCTTTAAAAGAAACCAATAACAACAATCCCCAGCCGCCCAGCGCTGTGAAGAACACTTGTATTCAGACTGAAATCTAATACCTTAAGTGCTGCAGACTCCTGTATTTAAACTTGTCACTAACCCAGCTAACGACAGTTAACTTCGTGTATTTAAAAAAAATAATTCACCTGGTGAAGGGGAGCTGTTTTTTTTTCTTTAATTTTTTAAACCAGCTTTGTTTTTTTTTTCTTTTAAAAGTAGATCAGTCGATGAGTATCTTGGTACCAGGGTAGTACAGAACACAAGTTGTTCTAATGGTGGGTTTTAACGGTAGTGATGCAAAATTATACAACAGGTTTAAACCTGAGATGCAGGCTGGTGATTTTTTTTATACTACCCTAATGCTGCTCAGATGGATTTAGGCAGCATTAAAACGCTGCCTCCCATTGCCACGGCGAAAACAATAAATTGGCCATTTAAATCGTAACGGCTGATGGTCTTTTCGAGTCCTCTTTACACTTTTTTCCCCCCCACAATTTGCCTTGTTACTGCTAATGAAGCCCCCGGTGTTCTAATGTGTAATTGAAGACAACCACTGTGCCACTTTTGTGTCCAGTCAAAATCATTATAGTGGCATTGCACCACGACAGAAGAATTGTCAAGTTGACCGTATATGTGCAAATCTAAATAGGGACCAGGCAATGCTACTTCACCTTATGACTCTGTAAATGATAGGCTACTTTTCTGAATTTATACCTTTTTTGAAAAAAAAAAATGGTTAACAGAAGCAGCAAGCCCTCCATGAAGTGAGTTTGGGCTTCTGTCTAGCCAAATGTGGATAACTGAGAGGGAAGCTACAGTGGCAGCATTGGTGCTACACTACTCGTGTGTAGAGTTAGTGGATGTAATTCTTTTGGTTCTAGAAAGGCCAGGGAGTGCCCTTCTGATTGCGAACGCTAAGCACAGTAGTGCAAGCCTTGAGTCACAGTACAGTGCAGAAGGAACAGGAGTTCTGCAGATGGGCATTGCCTGGTTTTCTATGAATCCAAAGTGTTAAACTCACTGAATTGTAATGTAAAAATGTATTGATTTTCAGTTCAAAGGCAATTATTCAGGCTGAAGCATTCACCACCTCACAGAATAAGATTGACTTTTATATCTTTGTTGACTCATGGTGCCTTTGAAAAGCTTTTTTTGTCTTCAGTGTTTTCCATTTTTGTGTCTTCAAAGTCTATAAAAGGCTATGTGTCTCTGACTGTTGAGAGACATACTGCAGGTATCGTTACCTACTGTGGTAGACACAATGAATACATTACTTTTTAATTGCCTACCAAAGAAAGCACTCAGGCTTTAGATGATCCTATTCATGTTAACAGAGTGATGGTAGAACTGACAGCATGGTGTATTTATGGCACAATCCTTACCTTACTGGAGGATCACTTGAAAAGATCCAGGAACATGTGGATAGTTGTTTTGTTCATGCTTACAGATGCTACGCAAATAATTCAATCCAGAAACCGCCTAGGCACCTGCACTGTTAAAAATGTACTTCATTAACATACTGCAACTCAAAGCATATTGGGATTTGGTTGTTGAGAGTGGATTGTTCAGTTTCCTGTTATGTTGCCATTCTGGTGCTGCTCAATGATAGCTCTGGACTGAAGAAAATGCCACAAGCTGCAGAATTTGTCCCTCCTATTTCTTTATTTTGAACACTAGTGCCAGGTATAATTTGATTTGTTGCAGACCAGCTTAAGGTATTTGTATATTTGTTTGCTAATTTGCTTTATAATATGCGTGTAAATGCATATCTAAAAAATTAAAATGATAAAGATGCACATGTGTATTTTTTCCTTTATGAAAGTGACTTGCAGGGTTTAGGTCTCTCACAAGACCATACCTTGCTTTTAAACTATCACCTCAGTTCCATTCTGAGCCTCGTGAACATGTCCTTTTGTGTTTATGGTAGATACACTACAAAACAAAACCACTCGGAATCAAGTCTTTCACATGCAGTTTATTGCTGGATCAATTATTGCAAGCTTGTCTCCCTGAATTTAACAGTATACATTCAAAGACTTTCAACATAACGAAATAGTACAATAACTGAACTTTTATTTAAAAAATTTAAAACCATTTTTCTTTGAGCAACTATTCTATACATCCCCTTGAAAGTTACATTCAGCATTACCAGAAGAAACCTGAGTGAAAAATGTAGAGTCAAGTTTTTTAAAAACAGATTTTGTAGAGATGTTCTTTCTCTGCAAATACTGTTTGTACAGTGCTTACTATTTAGCTATGTGGACAGCATTTGCCTGATTCCAGATCCTTAAATGCTATTTTAGTAAATGTATTACATTTTCACAGCTGCCCTCTGGTTAAGGCGCTGGTCAATTGAAGCTATTGCATAGTCCTCAGTAATACATTTTAAGATCAGAAAGCATATTTAAATTTAATGCACATCTCATTTAAAATATTTTCACATTCCCAAACATTTTAAAAATCTATTGTATGCAATGCTGAATATTATTTACAACATAAACAGAAAACAAAATGTCTGCACTTTTACACTACTAAAATCTGGCAAAATAAATCTTGGTATAGGCTTTTACCGAGCAGCAGTGAAATCAATAAGTAAAATTTCTTGCAACAATTCCATCTCAATTGAGAATTCTTAGTGAACATGATATGAGTCTGTCATGCTGCAGCTGTAATGTTTGGCACCAAACAACAGTACAAAGATTTAATTTTGCAGTCAAGATAATGTAAACCCTTACATGTGCCTTGTGGCAATTAGCTTTCCACAGTGGGGCTGCTCTCAAGGGTTGTAACTAGCTAATGCAGCCCTCTGAATGCAGAATAATCCCAAGTGTTCCTTTTTACATGAGGACACTGCAGAATGACTGCATAACTATGCATAAACCATAAATTCAACATACTCAGATGTGCCTTGCTGAACCATAACCATCTTGCATCAGATACATAGTACAAATAGAATTTGGTTTGTTTTTCATTTGCTGTACACTATCATATATTTGTCCAGAAGGAGAGCTACATTTAATGCAGAGACTGTTCTAGCAAATGTAGTATTGTATCCTAGCCTCAGAAGTTAAACATAACATTTAGAATTCTGAGATGTCAAATGAAACCTGTGGAAATACAGTAGAGGTGTATGTACATTTAGGGTCTGGTTTCTCACTATTGGACTGCTTGAAGATTCCTGACAGGTTTTACACTTTAAACCTGTCTTTACAGGATTAAAATCACCCTGGAACATTCAATTCCCTGGAGAGAATTATGAAGAGACTTCCTCCAAAAATTACCTCCCATTAAAGAAAGTTGCGATTTAGAAAAACTCAAGAGAGGAACCATCAATGTTGATGTCTTAAATGAAAAAAACCTTGATAAATTTGAATATAGAAGTGTAAACTCACCAAATTGACTGTGTATAAATGTTATTTCAGCATGTAACAGATTGATATATTTGAGATTTTTCAGCATACAAACCATGAAAGCCATTGTTTGCATAGATCCACCTCCCACTCAAAGTGTGTGGGGAAAGTACTGCATTCATGAAACAATATACTTGTTTGCTAGATTCTGAACATCATATGTTGTAAACCCTTGCTTTTCAACCATAGACAGATGTTCAAATAGTTGGTTTACCTTTTGACGTTCATTTTTGCTCAAAAGCAGCAGTACCACCTGGAAACACAAAAGTTTCAATCAACATTCAAGTTGGTAGACAACTCTTTTGAAAATGATTCCAATGAAACAATATTTGAAGGTGCATCAAGGATGCTGTAGATATTGACATTCATGGCGTGGTATTAGTGGAACAGCCGTATACAGTGTATAGAAAAAATGGGAACATACCTTGAACCTTTCCGCTTTGTGCAGGTGGTTCAAATGATGGTAAACAGCAATGGGGTCCTCTTGAAGTAGATGTTCATCGAGAGCTTGAATAATAAAAGTAAAGACATCCCCATCCAGCTTATTGCTCATGAAGGAAGGGAGCTTCTCTGGCTCTACACTGCAGAGCAGTTCAGCACACGTAGCAACATCGCCTTTTGCCCTTGCTGCGTTCAAGGCCTGGCCAAACTCGTAGGCATTTGTAGGCTCTAATGTAAATGTGTGTTCCACCTCAACGGTGTTGTTCATTTCTTCTCTGTCTATCTCGCTGGTCCTGTGCTCTGTGCTTTCAGTTTCCTCGTTGTCATTCACCTGCAGACGAAGAAGAATTCTTACTGGACTGAAAAAGTGAAGTCGTAAACCAAAGCACAGGAGCAGCTGTCTCCGTTTTCTTGGGGACACTGCCTGAACCAGGCAAAACATACCTCTGTAACCATTCATTTGCTAACAGCACATGGCTGAGGACATGTCCTGGAGAAGGCTTCAGCTTTCTTGGCCAGTGAAACCCAGACCCAGATGACATGATGTGCAGCATGAAGTGCAGAATATTACATAGCAAAAATGTAGAGAAATATGAAACTACAAATCTTAAATGTGGACACTGACCCTGAAGCGAAAAGATATGAAAAAGAATTAGGTGTAAATGAGCTCCTCTACATCTTCTAGGAAGTGTAAGGAAGCAATTTTGGTCACAAAGCTACAAAACTAAAGACAAACTAATAAAACTTGCTAAAAAGTTAGTGTTAAAAAGGTAAACAGGCCTCACAATAAAATGCGTATCCAAATGTAATGAAAATTTAGACATTAAATGTACATATAAAGGACTTAAATGACCAATTAAATAAAACTGTAGGACTGATCATGAAATATAGTTTTATGAATTGGTTAATGAATCCACCCATCAAACCAGTAATTCTGGGCTCAGTGAAGCAACTAATTCTGACTGTACTGCGTTCCCACCTGAAGAGACAGGTGCTGAAGTGGCATCTTACCTCCTGGATGGGGACATTCCTCCTGTGTTTGTCCTGAGGGCTGGCAGACAGGTGCTGCTGCTTCAGCAGCCCAGTGACCTCTTGCAGCTCTCTCTCCGCCTCCTGCACACTGGGGTCCAAGCGCAGCAACTCCTGCAGGTCTGCACTGCAAGCAGCGTAGTCCTGCACACACACAGCATGCAACTGCTTAGCACCTACACTGACAAGTGCTTCAGAGTCAAGCACAGCAAGCAAGAGCTCAGAATAGACTGGGCACTGTACAGTATGGCACAAACAGGAGTTCAAAATCTTAGAACTATGCTGAGTACCAAAAGAAGCTGATCAGTTGTAACTGAAACAAAGTATTATTAATCATCAGAGTCATGGTAAGAAAATCAAAGTTTTAAGGAGCAGGTGTACTGGCATTTTACATTATTAATATAAAATTATATTAAAGATTAATATTTAACTGTGGCCACTATCAGAAACAATACAAATAGCATATGTAACACATGCTTTGCATGGCATTGCAGAATATGTCTTGTGGGATTCTGTTCAGTTCCTCTTGTAGAGCGTGGACAAACGTGCCTGTTCACTGGTCTCTTCGCACTAGAAGCCTAACAATCTTCCCTGATCATCCTCCATGTTCAATGGTAATCAAGCCTGGCAAGTAGCGTATCCAGCACAGCAGCATCCTACAGACTGATGGCACGAAGGTAATTATTTATTTTGTCAAGTGGGGTTTATTGATTCCTTTCTGTTTTTCTCTCTTGATTTTCACTAGGCGGACAGCACAGTGGCACATTGGCTAGCACTGCTATCTCACAGGGCTTTAGTCCTGGGCTCATGTCCAGAGCCGGAGTGCTATCTGCATGGAGTACGCAGATCCTCCCCATCTTCACATGGGTTTCCTCTGGGTGCTCTGGTTTCTTTCCTACTACAGTTCAAAGGCGTGCTGGCCCTGGTGTGAGGGTGTGTCCTGCGACGGACTGGCGTCCTCTCCAGGGTGTAGCCCACCTTGCTCATGTTGCTTGCCAGGTAGGCTTCGGCTCCCCCGCAACAAAAAAAATCATCTCGTCATATGTGTCCCATGAATTTTCCACTAATGCAGGGATTTAGTGTTTCCGCAAGTGTCACATAACTGTACGAGTCATGAATGCTCAAAAGGCTCCAACGATATTCAATCACTTTCCAAAATGTACTTTATTTATGCACGTACTGTATGTTTTCAGAAAACTAGAGTGATAAGGTTCTTTTGATGCCCCACTAATCTATATTTGTCTATTATATATTGAGGTACAGTATCACAGTGTACTGCAATGGGAGGGTGTTTGTGTAGTTGCAAATACTACATATATTAGTAAATATATAATGGTGAAAATATTAGATGATGGAACTGCTTGAAAGGAGCTGCTTTCAAATGTTAAAGGTTTTCCAATAAGTCAAGATTCCCTCAACCAAAAAACCTCCACCAGCCTATCTTAATAACTTGGAGATGAGCTTGGGCTTGCACAAGTGTAAATGTTCCAGAGGAGGAAAATAAAGTAAAAAACTAATTTGAGTAGTACGCTCATTAAAGAACTCCTGGATGGATTCTGAAATCCAGCTTTGCATATTTCCTCCCAACAAACATGTTTTGCAAACCAAAAAAGTGAAATACTTTACAGGAAATTGCTTAAAGCACAGTGCAACCTCATTAGACTTTAACAAATGTGCTAAGCCCTAAGAAGATCACTTTGCAGATTAAATCAGACTGTGTCTGGCTATTTTTTAATGATGTGGGATCAAAAGAATATCGCTTACTGTAGGTATTAAGGTATTAGTTGGAAAAGACAGGATTTATCATTAAAGGTCTGCAAAACAGGTATATGAACCTTCAACAAAGGCAAAAAAATGGTTACACTGTTTAGGAGTGGGAGTGTGCATCAATTTTGTGACAGTACATTAAAAGATAAATGATTTCTAAGTAAAAGTGAAATGAACTCATACATTTGTAAGGATGTTTAACTTATATAAGGAAAACTGGCATGTTTTTGTGTTAAGATTCCCAGGGTTCACCAAAAAACACAGATCCCCACACTGGATGAAAAAAAAAAACAGTCAGAATCTCAGGATTGGATTGATGAAGATACCGAACTCACCTGTAACCCTTTGTAGGCTAGAGCCCTTCTGTAAAATGCTTTCTTATTTGAGGGCTCCAGTTGAAGTGCAGAATCACAGTCTTGTTTGGCTTCTGCAAACTGATCCAGTTTTAAATAACACAAAGCTCTAGAAACGGAACACAGAAACTTATGATTAAAAAGTGTTTACTTATTTAGATTACAGTTTGCTCCTTTTCATTTCCATTTACCAGATCACAGTCTTCTGTTCTTTTTGTAGGCTAAACAGTACTTACTGCAGGGATTACAGCTTGTTCTAGACATGACCGTTGTACAGTATTTCCAGATCACTACAAATACAAGTAGAAGAATGACTGTCCTCACAATGAAAAGGGTATTCCTCTGCCACACACAGTAAATGGTATGTGTATTGTGGCTGTGTGAAAGGAGATCAAAGGGTATCCCAGGGGAAGGTCCTATTTTTATATCCCCATACTCTGCCTCTTTCAAAGACATTTGCTGTCTATAATCAACGACTTTACAAGCAAGAAAAGAAATGCTGAGAGAAATAAACAAGACTTTTACATCTTATTTTAATTTAACTTATTTCTTTTAACACTGGTTGTCCTGCTCATGACACCTTTTGATGTAGTCTAGCTTTTACAGCAGAGTTGCTATATAAACAATGGTACGTATTTACTTCAGTGTTCAGGAAGACAAACAGTACCTGTTAGTATAAATAGCACACTCTTCAGGTTTTATCTTAAGGCATTCACTGTACTTTCCAAGTCCGGCCCTGTATTGGCTTTTCTTCACAAAATCATTTCCTTCTTGCTTCAAAGAAAGGAAAAGGGCATCAGCCTTTTCACCTTAAAGACAAAAATAGCAGGGTTGTTAAATGCAAGTTTAATCTGTTTGGCATTGTGGAATAATGTGTTGTATCACATCCACTCCAGTTAAATCTGAATGTTTGAAAATGAAACTAAAATCATCTTGGCTTGAGTTTTTTTTTCTTTTAATTTCTTTAGAAAACAACAATTACATGGACCTGGAAATTATCCAGTGCTTTCAATGAAAGACAAAAGTGTAATAATGTTAATATACAATAATCCCAGTTTTAAAGACAATACAGCTAATATATGTATATGCTAATTATTAACCATTTTATATCTGAGAAGAAAGTTTAGGACTTATTTAGTAGTAGAGAATATGCAATGAAATTAGAAGTAAATTAACACACAAAATTCAGGGTTAAAACACATTACTTCCTTCTATGCAGTGGTTTCACTGGTTCAAACAGGTCTGACCACTGCTTTACCACAGGGATGATGCAGTTCTGTGTCACACGCTCGCCTGGCTAAAGCTACACCTCCCAGCCCCGATTAGAGACTCCCCTGGCACTGGGTGTTGTGAGTAAATAAAAAGATGAGCATTCAAGACTACTATCCCTCCTGTCCACTCACTGTTATTGTGCTTCTTGAGAAAGGCACATACATATTTATACGGTAGTAGTTCAGGTGGGTAGCTGCGTCAGCATGCGTAGGCTGCAAAGGAACAAGTAATAGGTTTATTCCATGCTGAAAAAAAGAAAAAAGAGAACACAACGTTTCGGCCATGGAGCCTTCTTCAGGTGTGTGACCTTGGTGTGTGACCAAGCCCACACCTGAAGAAGGCTCCACGGCCGAAACGTTGTGTTCTCTTTCTTCTTTTTTTCAGCATGGAATAAACCTATTGTTCCTTTACATATTTATACACTTGGTATTGGGTAACATAATAGCCTATTATACTGTTACCGCTGTTACACTATTTAATTTAGTAAAAAGCTTTCTGATATTAATAAACAGTTTTTCCTGTGTTACAGAAAAAAATACATACCTATTTACTGTAGGTTCCAGTCCAAGAGTAAACAGTAAGGCAGGTCAGTATTCAATTTACTTTATAACATGTCATCAATAGAATTGCTGGTATAGGCATAGGAAAAACAGCCAACACAGTGTTTTCACTAATGAGAATGTTATAAATAACTGCCTTCACAGTCCAGGAAACCACCGAGTCTGGATCACTACAGCTCCACAGAACGTGCTCGAATGCAGTTTGGAAATTAAATGAATATAAATTCTAGTCCTATTCACTATGCAATCTCTCTCTGTGTTTTTCCATCGATCACTCTGTGGACGTGGATGTGGAAGACGGGAGTGACTAACAGTCTGAAGCTGGCGCGCGAGTTACCTGCTCGGCGCCGGACTCTACAGTCAGGTGGTACCTGTGTCCTGTGGTGCGCCGGCGCTATCCGAGACCTGGCCTGTGCCCGGTGTTTGCTCCGATCTGGGCAACGGCTCCTGCCATCTGTGCTGCTGGGAGGACAAGGGCACCACTGGGATTGTAGGCAGGTTCTCTCTCCAGGCGTGACCGTCCTGTGCTATTAACAACCGTGAAATCCTTACAGGAAAAAAACAAAACATCATTACTCACAAGTACAGGTTTCCCTGTGATGAACAGTGTAGTTGGATACAGCATTGACACATCCTGAAAACCCCCATATTATCTCCAGTATAATGTAAGTGTAGCAAACAAGTCCAAAAATTGTCAAGACACACAGGAGGTATCTTAACTTCTATCGCTACATTCATTTCAACGTCTGACATAACACTATTGTAAACAAAATCTATTTGAACAAAGTGTTTCATTTATGCATAAATATAAATACATGTGAAGGTTTATAACAAATGTTTTAAATAGTGATGTGCAGAAATTGTTAACAAGTGGAGTTAGTGCAGACATTTTTTAATTTCTTAGATGAGAAAATATAACATACTTTTAAACTTCAGTATATGGTTGTTTTAGTTAAAGGATGTCAAAAATACAACTCAAAAAGAAAATATAAAAAAAACAAAACAAAAGAAGGAAGTAGAAAATAACTGACAATATAAAAACAATGATATTGAAAAGCATCAGAAAACATCTTACTTAAAAGATTCAGAAAATAAAAATCCTAGAGGTTCTTTATTCACACTTCAACTGCTTGGAATTTCATTTTTTCTACATAGCTATATTGTGAGCTAAAACCACACACTAGTTACAAATGAGAGGTGGCCTTGTTGTCCATCCAGCTCGTTTGTTTTGTTTTCAGTAGCTAACTGGTCTGAGGTTTTCCTCCAGACATTTCTTGATAGAAGCCAGGGCAGATATTCCATTCTCTCTCAACACTTACTGTAAAGAGATGCCTCTTGTTCTCAATTTGAAAAGAACGTCCATGTAGCCCATGTGGAGGCAGACACTATAAAAAGCTAAAACTGAGTGGTCTGCTATACCTGTTAGCCTCTGTTTCAGAGCAGAATAGCAATTCTGACTCCAGCCACTAATGACTTGAAGCAGAGAAGGCGTTTCATACACTGTCCTGCTGCAGTAGAGGTGCCAAACTGAATTGCTGTGTAAGAGGGTTTTGATTCTTCTGGAAGCAGGCCCTTCTCCACAGTGAGGATGTGTCACAGTATGTACATCTGAAGCTGTGGCCTGTACCTGTTGGCACTGTCGCTGGCAGCCTGCACTCCCCGGTCGATCTGAAGCACAGTCTTATAATCCACGTAGGCCTGCCGGTAATTCTCCAGTGACTCATAAGCCATGGCTCTCCGAAGAAGGGGCTTGATGGAGAAAGGCTGGAGCTCCAAGGCTCTTTTAAAAACAGAAGAATGAGATCAGGATACACTATCCAAAGCAAGCAGGCTGAACCGAGGCTGTGTGAAACAACCAGAACGCTTAGCCATACAGTATGTCCTGTGTTGGCACTATGGGTAAGAAAAAAAATACATTTGGCATAACATGACATATCTTTAATTGAAACAGAAACTAATTTAAAACGACTTATTTATTTAGATCATAAACCCAGTTATTTAAAAAACAATTGCCACATAAATGTAGAGAAAGTAGTGCCACTTAAATGTTTTGTCTAACACAATCAGTGAATACTACACTATGAAGCCTTGAGTGTTTAGTATCATACGTAGAATTAAGCAGTTTCAGAGTTAATGCAACAGCTACACCTCACCAGAAAAAAACGAGTGGAGCTAACTGTTTATGGAAGTTCAACTCTCAAGAGATGGATTAAGAAGAACCAATTTCATTAACCACTGTTGGTTTGGAATATCTGGTTGTTTGCTCCAGTTAATTACAACAAATATTAATGGGCAATTTGCCCAGTTTGCTCTTACTAGAAAACATATCCTGGTCCCATGGTCTGGTAAAGTCAGCGTCACTGCATGTTTAATGTCAACAACATAAAATAATCAACACAACAGAAAAGGTCACAAAATATGAATTCCTGTCAAGTGTTTGGCTGTAACCCATGTGAATGTTTAGGCTCATGGGTTGATCTCTACGGACCTTCTAAACTATATCAGCAATCTGCCTAGATTCATGTAAACAGCCCCCTTGTCACGTGACTCAAGTCCTAACCTACACAGTCTGCCATGGTAATGGAAAGCAACAGCTAAGGTCTAGCCACCCTGCACAAACACAGGAAAACAAAGGTAATCGTTTCACTCTTCACGGTACTTGATATGGTATTTATGACACCATTTATTAACAAGATATTAGCCTCAAACAATTTCAAAATGCAGATCACAGGGACATACTTCCTGTTATAAATGAGAGTTTAACAAGATGTTATGGCTTTAGCTAATCTCGTGTCCTTCAGAAATATCTATTTAATACACACAGAAGCCTCCTACTCTGTAGGCTCTGTGTTTAGCACAAACCTCATGGCAGTAATATCACTTCAAATGACTCCTGGTTCATGACACACAATACTTTCTCAGGCACCTTCGCAAGTACAGTCACAAATACCTTCGCTTAAACAGACTTCGGATTTAATGGGCAAAAGTAGGTAAAGGGAAGGTTTTCCACAAAAGGGACACTACTCTTGGTCTATGTGTGCCATTCATCCTCTTGCATCTAAGTGTATTCACTATGACGAGTATCAGATTTTGTGATATCTTGCTCAAAAAAGTGTAAAGAAGTGAAAAACCAAGGCCTCAAAGGGTGGTGAACAGAGAAGAAGAGTACATTTGAGCATGACTGAGAAATTAGAATCTGAAGTGTCTGTGAATCGAGTGCGTGAGGAATACTGTCAAAAATCTGTTTCAGATATTTGCAAGATGAAGGTTACGTTTGTTGTAGCTAAAGCTGAAAAATGATGAACCACAACAATATGAACCACAACAAAGAAAACAGGCACTGTCCCAAGAAAGCATATTAAAAGTGGCTCATGAAAACATCACCCCACGAAGGGGCATTCATTGCTGGCAAGAACAGCAATGCTATTGTGGTGTAAACGTCCATAGTGTTGAAGTGAGATGTGCAGACAGTACGCTGCCCAGGCACACGAAATTGAATTTCAAACACAGTGAAGGGTGGCTTTGGCAATTTTGTAAAGGTCGTGGTATGGCGAATAAAAATAACCTGTGGTGAACCTTTGAGTGCACATACTGAAGAGACTGAACTGTTTCACAAGAAACTAAACAAGTTAATCTAAGCCAGAGGCATCATATTCCAACTGTACAATACCGATGACATTTGTCTCTCAACAATACAGTATATTAATTTCTTACAATACAGTGTAATAGTATGTTATTTTTCTAATCATTAATAATATTCAGTAAACATATACACCACTAGTCCAATAAACCATGGATGTACTGTATAACCCTTACGAATGTGACACGGCTTACAATTATAGGAGGTACCTACCCACAATGACTCAGTCCGTCACAAACACACAAACATTCCTAAAACCAACATTGGAAAACTGTCTGAAGATCTCTTACTGCTGCCCAGCAGTAAAAAAAGCAATGGTTCTTGTACAAAATCCAAATTTTACAACATATCAAACATACTGTTCTTTCAACTACATAAAAAATGCAAGGAAAGGAAAAAATTCTGTTTAATTATTATTTCCCAGTTACAAAATTATGTTTAAATGTGTAAAACATATTACGAATGGGTTCACCTCAATTTCATTTTCTTGGGTTTAGAAAAGAGACAATTCCTGATTTTAAGTAGACAAACAGGTCAGACATACATCTAATTCTTTCTCTCTCTTTAAGTGAATATACAGAAGTATTAAGGATTTTCAATGAAAGTAAACCCAGCTGTTTTTCTAACTGAAGTAATCTTTCAAAAGTTAGGGCCTATATTTTTTTTTAATGGTTTACGTACATTTAGTAAAATTATTAATTAAACCATTGAAAAATGGAGAGCTGCTCTTTTTATGAGACCTATCTCTAAGAACTCTCAGAACAGAAAAATCTGTAGTAATTATGGAAGATTTGTAGTAGCCATTTACTGGTGAAAATTGTCACTGGGACTATCACACACATAAAAGAACCTCGGTTCAATATATGGTCTTTAGACAGATGACAGTGTAGCTCTATGAGCTTTTACCTTTTACAGTCTTGAATGCACTCAAGACTGTTCCCATCCTTCAGATGGCATGCAGCTCGGTTTGAGTACAGAATACTGAGGTCTTCTGCACTGTCGATACCTTAAAAAACAGTTACAAAGCAGTTATTTATTATAAAATGCTTACAAGGCAGAACAATAATCAATTTGCTCTATTCACATCAACAGTTTTCAGCAGGACCTCCCTAGATGCTATAGAGGCTGTGGCATCTTGTTGTAATATGTTTTAGCATGTACATGAATATGTACAGAGTGAATGCTTAAAATAAACTAGGAGTTTGGCTTCTAACAACACAAAAAAACAATGCACAAAATGTAAGCCTAGTAATGGTTTACATTGCATTGAGGCTTTTAAGAGTTACTGAAAACAGAATCCTGGCCAAACTGTGAAATGAGATTTTTTTACTAAATGGATGCCCTTCAACAGCATATGAAGACTGCCAGATGCCGATTTTGTTTTTTGATAAATGGACTTACCAACCTAAAATCCTTGGTTTAGCTGAACAAAATCCGGATTACAGAAATATCTGCTGTGTTAATATGAAGTTCACTTAACATAATGAATCGACGGAAAATGCCAGCGCAGTATTATGTCTGTAAGCTCTTAAAGCCTTTTAAAATACATATGAAGCAAATAATGAGGTACATGATGTAAAAAATTAGTAATTTATTTACTGACTCGGGTTGTCCACCTGAGATTCCTTTGCAACAATTTGGAGGGAACCTTTCAATAATACAGCTACATGGCAGCAACCAAACAAGTGAAAAATCCTCTGATCTCTCAGTTCATGGGGGTCTTTACAGCCCTCTGCAGCCTAGAGGCTTCATCGCGAGGAATCTGTATAAAGCATCAGGGGAGAGGGCCAAATGAGAATGCTGACTGGTGCCAATCAGCAGTTCACACCTGTATTTCTGCTACGAAAACAATGGCATAGTAATCAAAGTGCCCCGGTGGCCATTTTAAAATCTTGCCACCTCTTACTTTCTTGCAGTTAAAAAAAACGCCATGAAGAACGATTTCCCATTCTAGATTTGTTAGTATAGCCTTGGATGTTTTCTCCACACAGGGCACTTTAGTAGTGTGAGCCCACTTCCCCTTAACTGATTTAGCATTTTAGCCCATAGACACATGGACCTCGGCACTCTGGGAACCAGAATGGGTGATATCACACAAGGTGCTGGTTGAGAGAGATGGTCACAATGTTCTCAATGATGGGAGACTGCAGTCCTCACAGTTCGCTTTCTTTCAGGGGAAATCACAAAACAGAAATCGAACTCTGCATCTCATATCAATGAACACTGCTGAAGGTGGGCTGGACCGTCATTGATAGTGGTGCGTCAAACGAACTATATTTCTGGTTGCAATTTATGTAAGGTGAATTGCACACTGACAAAACTTCAGAGTCCCTTGCCGAAAAAATTCTTGACTGTAATGAGGATCAAATTTGTTTAGCTCTCAGATGGTGACTTGTATACTGCGGGATGAAGCTCAGGACTCATAAATTATCTTGATTACTATACTATAACTCTGCTGGACAAAGACACGCCCTTGTAATAATATATGGTTTGAATCATTTTTTCAAGGTTGAAGCAAAATCATCTCTGAGTGTATTTCTGTTTTCAATTTTTGCATTACTCAAAGATAATACATTTGAAAGATAACACAACTTGTTATACATTGTTGTCCCATAATGAATTTGTTCATCTGCAAATCAGCAGTCTCATCAAACAAGTGAAGAAAAATTACAGGAATTCACGGAGGAACTGTGAATTAAATCACTTGTGAACATCTCAAATAAATTATTTTTTTAAAAATAAAACAGCAAAAAAGATTAGTTTTAGACTTACAATTTTAACACCCAAGATGTTATTACACTTAGATTTTAAAAGTCAAGACCATTTAAAAAAAATAATTAGCTGTGATTCCAATTGATAACGTGTTAGTTATCATCTGTGGTATCTCCAATATTAAGGTAAATGGCTAAAGTGGGCAAAATTGTCCTCCTTTACTCAATTTATCTTGAAACTCTCGTGGGCTTAAAACTTTTATTTTACTGATGGCAGTTTTACTCTTCAATTAATTGGTTTTAAACTGGTTTTAGAGAAGGTTTTTAATTAAAATTAAAATTGGTTTTAAAGAAGGCATGGCACCAGAAGTGGATACCCACTCATTTTTCATTACTTTCTCCAACTCACTCTGCTGATATGTTTTAATCTGGTCTGTTAAATACTGTTACAGTTTTACTGCCATTATTTCCTTGTTGGACAGCTTGAAATGCTTTACATTTCTCTTTCCAAGGTATAAGAAGATATCAGAACTATTCAAAACATGTTATGTAGCTAATTACTTCTCTACTGCTTGCACAGCACTCTTTGAACCGAAATTCATAACATACATTCTTCATGTCATTCAAGATAAAACTCCTCAAAGCATGTACTATGCTTTGAGGAGTCCTATCTTGAATGACATGAAGAAAAATATTTAAGCCATGACAGGTGCGAATCCATTGATACTGGCTCCTTATTATGTAATACAAAAAAGGAAGAAAAGGGTAGTCATTTAGAAAAGCACGTTTTGTTATATGGCCGCATATTTTTTAAATCATTATATTTTCATCCGGCATGTGCCCTTAAAATCTGTAACAGGAGATCAACCAAAGTTAAAAACATTCCTGGCTGTTTCTGAAATTACTTTTCAAAGAACTGATAAAAGACTCTTTATGCAAAAGAATCTTAAAGTGGTAATTCAATACGCCCATGGCTAAGTAAAGCAAAGAAAATGGACTTACCGGCCTCAATAAAGCCACCAATGGCCTGGGTGTACTTATTCAAGGCATCAGAAAATTGTCCATTCTTGAAAAGCTCGTTGCCTTGACTTTTCAGCTTAGCTAGTTCCGGGGTTAGGGCCCCAGAGATGACGTCGGGCCTGCTGCTGTCAGTACCTGGGGCACCAGAACTGCTCTGATCACCTACACAGCTCCCATTCTCCTGCGCTCCATTCACCAGCCCCTGGTCTGCAGACTTGCTGTCTCCTTGGGCCCTGGACGTTTCCCCACTGGCTCCTTTGCTCTTCTCTTTCTGGGGCGCAGGTGACGTCTTCGTCTCCATCCTGGGGCCCCCATCTCCTCTGCCGGGAAACTTTTTATTTGCGTTCCCCATTTCTCCCTTCACAGCAGGACTGGCAGTCTCTCCACCCACATGCAGGCTGCCTTCTGCTGTAGGAAATGCAAGAAGACACGCCCACAGGCGCAGTCAGTGATTACGTCACTCTGTGGGAAGGCCTACTGCAGCCCTGCACACAGGGGTGTGAGGAAATGACACTAAAAGCTTGATGGATGTGTAACTAAGGTACATGGCTTTTAATAGTGAAATATTTCTAATACAAGGTCTACAGGATATTTGTTCAAGGGAGTATCTTTGTTTCTCCCTTTAATCTACACCTTTTTGATGTTGCAGAAATGAGTGATAAATGAAGGAAGCCCGTCTTTTTGTGGCTGGCTAAGAGATCAGCAGATCCTGAATCAACTGGTTGCGGCTTTGCTAAGGTTGAGTAACCCTTTCAGAGCCTCACAACTGCACACAAATGTCTACTTTACAGTATCATACCCTAATCACATTTTGAAAAACATATTTGCAGGGTCTATGAGGTAAAATACTGAAAGCTCAATGTCTGAACTTCAGGAAAGAATAGAAACTTAAATTTTATGAGCCCTAAAAACTAAATACTACTGATACCTCAAGCTTTATTAAACACTAGAACAAAATAAATGTTCCCATAAAATGAATACCTCTTGTCAAGTAAGATTTTTAAGCACTGCAAAGTAACAATGTCAGAAACCCTAATATTATTAGCACACAGTAAAGAAAAAGTAGACTAAGATCAGTTTAGGAACAGCCTCCTAACTTGAGCAATTTTAACGGTGTGATGCATCTGTCTGACACAACAAACATCTTCTTTCAGCTTTCTCAATTCCCTTTTCCACATAACTACGCACAACCTCTCAACAGCAGTGTTTTCCCAATTCCAGCTCCGCCATTAAGCTTATGACCAAATCCAGGCGTTTCACAATCACTTCAGAACAGATGACAAAATGTGTATTAAGTATTGAGCAATAGATGTATAACACAACTCTGGAAACTGAAGCTATTGATGACTGCTTAAAAACAATAATGGTACTAGGAAAGGCACCAGGTCATGTAAGGCTGTTTCTGAAATGTCAGAATTATAAATAATTATTGAATTAGAATTAGAAAATGACAGACATTAAGCGTATGTTCCTCAAGGAAGCACCTTGGGAGTATGGAGACATCCCATTGTTCTTACAGCCTCTAATAGCTTTGCTTACCCACTTGATCCAGAACAAACAGCTCTGGAGTTCCTGTGCTGATTATTTTTGAAAATCATGAAATAAAGAAATAACGAATCAAACCTTAATTACATGCTGTTTAATGAAAGGTACCAGTCCAGGAATGTGGAGGTTGGTGCTCACCTTCTTCTCCCTGTTCCTCAGACTCATCTACTTCTTCAATGACAATCCGCTTCCCTCTCGGCTGCGGTCCGGATTCTCCATCTTTCACTTTTTCTTCAGCTTCACACAGGAGGTTCTAAGGCAAAGTCATGAGGATGGAATGATTTATTAACCACATAATACCTTCTGCCACTTTACAAAATAGCAAGATACAATCTTAACATCATCTGATATTCAAGCCTACATTAATTAGTGCTGCATTTTAGCCACAGTAATTTATATTGTGAACATATTTATATTGGTTCTCCAGTTCACATGCATCACATTTCTAAATTTGTGGTTCCATTTAGTTGTGAGGACATTAAGCCTATTAGATTTTAACCAGTAATATTAAGAATATCAAGACCATTGGCACCATTAAATAGATGGGACATTGATTCACTTTAATCTATTTGACAGGGATATATAATCTTTGTCAGCATAATACATTTCAAGAAGAAACGACCACAGCGCCATCTGCTGCAGTACCAGAGCTACTGTAGCACCACTGCAGGTATTCCCTGTAGTACTGCAATAATCTCTTGTTTGGACTTTAAGAAATAAAGACTTTGAATTGTCAGAATTTACAAATCAGGAAAAATCGCATTTATGCCCAAAGCACTGACGAAATTAGACCAATGTGTAGTTGCTTACCTTTGCGATCAAATTATGTGGTTCAGCACGCAGCACATTCCTCAAATCGTCTACAGCTGCCTTATAGTTTCCCTGGTGTTTGTACACAGTAGCACGCCGCAGAAGTGCTGTAAAAACAACACTAAATTGTCACATATTTGGCTGTTTGAACTGCTAGATCAACTATGTTTTGCAATTGAAAACTGATGGGGCTGATAAGAACACATTGTGCCTACATATTTCTTGTTATGAAATCAATGCAAATAATTTCGTGTCTTCACCATCTCTGTCTCAACTTGGAAGACACAGAATGAGAAAGATATTTAGAAATAAGCAACAACATGAATGATGTTTATTGTATGGCTTGTTTACCATTATTCAAGCAAGCAGTGTGAAAGTGGGCTCATACCTTTCAGATTGTTTGGCTCCAGTTCTAATGCTTTTTGACAGTCATGGAAAGCATTATTCCAGTTCTGAAGATTAATCTCTGCCTGAGCTCTGTTGTTGTAGGCAGCCACTGTTGGCATCACAGAGAGGCTCCTGTAACAAGCAGTGTATTAGCTACTGAAGAGGTCATGAAGCACTGGCGCAACTTTGGCAATGGAGTATAAATAGGACGTAAGAAAGATTACAAACAAGAGGGCTATCGGAACACAGAAGAAAAGTCACAAACAAGAGAGGGCCTTCAACCCTTTGGGCTGTTTCTTAGAAGAAGCCAGGATATTGGCTTCAAGAACATGGTAAGGTAGCTTGTTTCATATGCCCAGTCATCCTACCAGCTCAGTCAAAGACTTCCACTTAGCAAAATACCATCATAGACATTAAACTTTTAATTAAAAATCTTATATCAAGAATTAAAATAAGATTTCTTAATTTGGCCCTTACATAATGTATATTAATAAAATGTCATATAATAATACTGATATTTTTAAGACCCATTATTACCTCATGAACTGAAACGTAGAACCAACATTGAGACAGATACTCGACTGAAAAGATTGCACATAATAAATATACTGAGGGACATTAAAAATAAAAAAAGGACAGAGGTATTAAAATTTGATTGAAAAAAAAAAACGATCCATGAAATTAATTAAATTTGTCCCTTTCAGGTTTTGCTGTATTTAAGGAAATATCATAAGCTTACCTGCTCATTTCTAGGCACAGCCAGGGTACTGCATATGGCACTCATTAATTTATTATCAGAAAGCTGTGCATTCTTGGTAACTAACAGCATGGGGACAGCTGTAGTACAGGGGGAAAGGCAGGACAGCACCATGGACAGGACACCAGGACAAATTAAAGACACCACTAAACCTAGCCAGTCTGTCTTTGGAAGGTGGGACAAAACTGCAGCCTGGAGAAAACCCACACAATCATGGTTAAACGTCCAAACTCACACTGAACAGGTCCCGGGAGTTGTGAGGCAGCTGTATTAAATACAATGCCGAAACAGGATTCATTGTGACACTTTGAACAAGCCAGGACATAGAAGTTAATTACCACTTTTATGAACATTGCCAGGGCTTTCAACACCTTACATGAATAACCAGTCTTCAACCTAAAAGGAAAAGACTGACAATCATTTGACACTGACCTTGTGTAGTACACCACAGCTTCTTCATAATCTTTAGCTTTGAAAGCCTCGTTGCCTTTATCTTTCTCCCGGTTTGCAAGGAGCTGTTTTTCCTTTTCAGTCAATGCTGGGAACAAATATTAAACAATAACCATTTACTGTATTTATAAAGGAACAAACCAAATAATTTAACCAAATTTAAATTTAACCAAATCATTAATAAATTCAGAAACGGGACAAGAAATGATATCTGCAGAAGAAATGGTCCCAGGCAGAACACACTGCAGTGACCGTTAGCGAAGATATTGTCTTATAGTGCGAATGAACAAAAAGTACTTATTATGAAAATAATATTATTAGAGTTGGAAGTCAACTTCAGAGACTTGCCATGTAAAGCTTGATTCTTTTAAACCAATTCCATTAATCCAGACTGGTTTAATCAGTCTTAATCTATGATTGTTACCTGTGGGCTTTACCTGACAAGATGGTCTTAACGATAATGATTTAAAGGCAGCAACTGAATGAAAGATTTAGTCAATTTCCATTAAAAGGGGAAAGTATATCAGAATGTACTACGCACTAATGAAAACAGAGCAGAATATGATTTTTTAAGCATAATTTCCTAAATATAAATTTATATAACTACGTGAAAGGGTTAATTAAACCAATATACTGTAAAAAAATGTGAAACACTGAAAAATGAAGCAGAAAATTAATTTACTACATGTATACACTGTACAGTGGAGTATAAATGTACTCAATACACAGTAATGACAAGAGGTGTTTTTAGTTTTATTCATAATTCATCTATGTAAAGACGTTTTGCAGTTTGCCCAAAGTTTTGTCATGCATCATTAATTTTGTCATGGTTTCCAAAAGACTAAATTCATATGTGTCTGTGTTTAACCTCAATTTCGTGTTTGTAAAAGCAAAGAAAGCAAACTTGAAAAAATCATCAAGGTTAAACAATTCTGAGTGTTCACACAACATAATGAGGAAATAAAGGTTTTAAGTAAGGTCTAGGAAACACTATAGAGCACATGGCAGCTCTTTAGGGAGACTTAAATATTTATTCTGACATTTCACCTCTTGTGTCAATTTGTCGTTTCACTTTAGGAAGACCATGATTGATGACTGCTGAAGAAAATTCTTCTTTGACGTTTCCATCAATTTTGGAACATTCTTTGTCAGCATCAAACCTGTAGATTACAGAACACAGCCTGCTTAAGGTACAAAGGCCTGGGAATGCACAGCCGAGTCTCAGAATCTCCTATATGACTGTTCTACGGTGTAGGTCATGCTTGGTCTCTGACAAGCTGAAATGCATTCCACTACTGTCTATTGAGGATTTCTGTATTCTACATCAGCTTTCTGTGACTCCATATTGCAAAGATCCATGACCAACATTCCTAGTATTTGTCTTTCTAAGTAATGTGACACAATACGTTCTTCATATTTATGGCTTTTATTGTTTGTTGTTTATTGCACAGTGTCCTTCCAATGCAGTAGAACTGGATTATAAACTTGATCTCACTTGTCCCATTCTCTGTAATCCAGAGGAACAGCCCTCTTCTTGGTTTTACTTCTTCCATCAGTAGCTTTACTCTGTAAATAATGAACAATATTTAATAAAAACATTTCCGCTTAATATACACAATTAGTCTAGCACTACTGCACACAACCAAATGTTAACATAACTCAATACACCTACCCTATCTGGAATAATGGGTCTAACTGGCAAAGGGAAATATACTCTACTGAGTCTCCGAAATTTGCTCTATAAAGCTTTTCAAATTCAACAAACAGAAAGACAGCATAAGAAAACACAAGAGAGAGAGAAGGAGGTAGGAATGATAGGAATGGAAGTGTGCCAGGAGAGAGGATCAGATTCTGGCTATGCATCCAGTTTATAGAAAGGGAGATTTAACACTGGGTTTTATTCTTTTAATTTAGGATGCAAGGTGTCTTTCTCTTGTTAGCCTTCTTAGGCTGTTATATAGGACTTCAGGTTACAGAGTTAGCATTCTGAGTTTCTGGGTCTGTAAACGTTAAGTCTCTGAGAAGCCCTGTTTTATAAATAGTATAACTGTTATGTGTGTTTTTGTTATGTTCTGTAACATTTTGCCTCATTTAGTTGTGCTGTTCTTGTGATTGTTAATAAATACTGTATATATTTTAGTTCATGTTTGCTGATTAATTAACTATTCTTTTCCTAGAAATGTGATTTCTTGTGCACCCTTATTTCCTCATATGCATCCAATTCGCAAAAATATCCAACATTTTACCTGATTTGAAGCGACACAGAAATTTGACCCACGCACTAGGGGCACATTTTCTGCATCATGCAACACAGACAGATGTTTCATCTCAGCTTCATTCTGTTTAACTTCATTTTCCCAGTTCTGTCAGGAATGTAAAAATAAAATTAGTGCATTTGTTTTCATACCCAATACCTGATGTGTTTTGACTGGCACGAAGAATTCTATACTTTATCAGAAAATCTGTTCTTTATACAAAATAACCAAATTATGTACTTTTTGCCTTGCAATACTTAAAGTGAAATACAGAAAAAATAAAGAGAAGTACAAGCAAAAAACATGCAACTACAAATTGATAATGGCCGGGATAACCACCACTTTACTGTACAAACAGCTATCCTAATGATGTACAGTAGGTACTGTATAATCATACAGGGTATTAGATGGCTTTCAAATTGCTGAAAATCAGTGACTTGGTCACCTCTTTTGAACATTCTACAATTTCTGAAATATCTAATGAGATCAAAGTTGCCATCTTCCATGTGTGCTTAGGTGATAGAATAAATCAGGCGGTGAGGGAAAAAAATAACAGGTCCAGCATATAAATCCTATACAGGTTTTGGATTAGCACGTCCTTCATATTGTCTAATTAAGACACTTGACTTTCAGCTCTGTAGATAACAACAGCCATGCTAATAGCTCACCCCACCTCCAAGGCCCTCTTTAAAACCCAGTTTTTACAAAGCCAGCCCGTGAAGCTCACCTCTCCACACATACCTTTAAGTCTTCAGCAATTTCTGCCCAATCCCCCGCAGGAAGGCTGGCTGCTGTGGCCGGAGGTTGATCTTTACGAAGGGCCCGGCTTTTCGGGTCCAGTTTTTCAATGCGTTTCTCACAAAAGTCTATGAGATGAGGATAGAACCCCTCCTGCCCAGACCTTCAATATAAATCACATGGGAAAGGCCACATTCACGTCCGCAACGTTTCACATGAACATTCCAGCCTCATCGATTTTTACTTAATGTTATGAAGTGAACAACACAAGATTAAGGAAAAATAAGATTTTGTACACTTTTTATTTAGATACAGCAATTTAATGAAAGTTCATGGGTCCATGATTGGTGAAGGCCATATGGGAAATTTGGCCAGGACCCAACATTTCAAGAAATGCTCTGAGTTGTGACCACAGAGAGTCAGGACCTCAGTTTTACATCTCATGAACAGGATAACGCCTTTTTACAGTACAGTGTCCCCGTCACTATACGGAGGCACTAGTATAGTGACGGTGAGCGCCCCCTGCTGGCCCCACTAACACCACTTCCAGCAGCAGCCTTAGTTTTTCCCAGGAGGTCTCCCATCCAGGCACTGGCCAGGCTCACACCTGCTGGGCTTCAGAGGGTTGCAGGGTGATACGGCTGCTGATAGGGTATTTATTCCATTCAGAGCCCTAAAAAAGTTATATATTATATAAGGGCAAAACTGACTGAATAGGTGGACAGTCTCTAAAAGGGTTTGAAAGCATCAATTAGACATACAACTAGTTGACAGTGCAGTATCTTATATGATCAAATGTAAGACTGAAACCCCCTTCTTTTATATAATTCAGCTGAGAATCTAAAAAACTTTAAATTTGATTATGACATTAAAATAGACAAATTGACAATACCAATTCATTTTTACCTCAACACTCTGAGTATCCTTCCCAGGTGCTTCACATCAGCGCAGTTCTGTATGAAACCATAGTCCAGATGCTCTATGGGAACTTGGGTGCTCTTTGTTTCCCCCGGACCCAACAGAGAAGAAACCTGCTCTGTACTCATGCTGACGGTAAGAACCTACCAACACAATAACCGATACACTGAAACCAAGGCATTTCTACAGCAGGTTCACTAATGCTTACCAGTAACACAGTGGACAGAAATGCTTTTAAAAACACAGTGGATTAATGGAAACTCGCTAGGCACTCACTGTAGGCACTGTGCACTGGCTGTAAAAGCTAACTATGAGAGATTACTTCCACAGGTTTTATTTTGTCTACAGATTAACTCTTATTTCTGAAAAAGATCGTACTTCAATACCTCCCTACAGTTTAACTTTTAATTTTAACTCGCGGGGTTCGGTGATGAAAACCTAAAAAAAAAAACATTTCAGTCTTATTGCATGCTAAAAAATATCTTCAAGAATTATAGATTAATTATTCTCTCTTTAATTATTAATTGTACATTTTTGGTACAAACGGGATGCAAAACTGTTTACGAATCGTTAGTAAATCATACAATTTTACGAGGATGTTTAATTTGTGGTACCGTTGGTAGCAACAATCCCTCAGTTAATGCACTAATTTTAGTGTTAAGTAATTATTACATTAATTATTGAACGTTCCGGAATCAAACATATCACAAATTACATAAAAACGTGATGGGAACTATCAGGAATTGTCAAAACACGTGTTTGATTAAAAAAAAAAGACTAGTAGACATTACTTAACCAAACGAAAGCTCCAGAAAACGCGGCAGTGATGAATTCAAACAGCCAACTGCAAATATGTAACTTTTTACAGCTACAGCAGTTAAAGCCAAAAACTGCTCCACTGGCTTGGTAATGAATGATATGGCTTGGTAATAATGTTAATAAAGCATTTAATTTTATACAGTATACGTATTAAAAGTCCCGGGATTCGACCACCGACTTGGGAGTAAAACCATTTTGAAAAACTTACCCAAGACCAGACGAGCGATTCGACAGTTGTGTCTCAGGCGCCTGCCCACAAACGACGTTTAAACAAATCAACAGTTTTATTATCTCTGAACTTTATTTGATGTTTCCCGGGCACGACGTGGGTCTTCGGGCAGGCGCTGTGAAGAAACCCGAAACCGGGCGATCTCAGCAGTTCGGCGTCGGTTTCTCCTCCAGCTGAAAAGCGTTACGTTACCGTGGCAACCGAAGGCCTTCCTCTGTTTCTCGACTCAAGCAGCGGCGAGACTAGGTCGGAGAACAAACCGTGAGGAGGAAAGGCGAAAGGAGGCCGAATTCATATTATACACTGTCACTTTGATCTGGGTATCAAAGTCCGCCTAACAAAAAACAACAACAACCGCTTTTTACTGCTACGCATTCCATATTCACGGTCATTCGTAAGTTAGGCATCGGGATACCCACACCTGCAATTAAAAACAAGTCACAGAAAGAGAAAATCCGTGTTTTACAATACACGTGTACGTCGCCATTTATTCCAATTCAGAAGCATGAATGAGTTTTTAAATATTTTTTTTAGTCGTATCTACAAATACAATCGTTCTTCCGCTGATAATTTATGTATTTTTTTCCACCTAGCGTGGGTTTAAAAAACGTTGTCGATACTGTTATTATTAGGAAATAATCAATTTTTTGGTAGCCGGTGCTTCCACATTTTATTGAACAGACATGACAAAAGTAAATTTATTAATCTGTTTCGCATTTCTTATCGACAGTGGGGTGTCCAGAAAAGCGCTACATAAGTGTAAGGAATTATTATTATTATCATCTGTAACAGTGTGGCCACAGCTGAAGTCTACAACAAGCTGCAGTTCCAGCTGTGCACTGAATACTGAAGCCCTCTTGTGGGATTCCATCCCATCTCTGACCAGTGAACAAGCACATACCTGCTCACTGGTCTCTGAGCCCTAGATGGCACACATTGTCCCCACTCATCCCTCAAATGCTCACTTGGGTATCTATGGCATGACCTTTATGCTGATAACCTCACAGCAAAGCTGTTGCTGCACAAGAAGCATTGGGATGTTGTGTCGTCCTGCTGGAATCTTGTGCTTCTGGGTAAGCCTACAGAAAGGGTGATCCATGGACGAGGCGATAATGACACAGGTATGAATGACGCAGTATCAAACACTTTATAGTGTTCCGGTCTGATTTACTTCCTCTTTAATTCGGAATTAGAATTGCTGTTTATTTCTGCCCTACCTGCCCGATTTCGAGTAGCCAATTACACGTTTTTCATGTCTCATTTCCCAGCTCCATGCCCCTTGACCCCACGCAGGGCAGAATGAGGAAGTGCGGATTGACTCCGCCAGCCCATCCTCCTTCGACCTTGACCACTTGACCTTAACTCTTCCTAGGCAACACCGCCTCCTACTGGAGGATCAGCACCGATCGGAAGAGTGGCTCGTCCCTTGCTGACAGAACAGCACACCTGCAATAGGGGTTGTCGAGCCTGGTGTGCACTGCTGATTGGGGAATCCTGGCCAGCGCTGATGAATGACCTCAGCCAGGATCAAATTGAACCAGCGACGCTGGTGCCCAACCTGTGCTTGGACTGGCAAATTTACCAGCGGAGCCACTTTTGAGTGGCCACCTTCTTTCATTTCTTTTTTAAACGTGGTAGGAGACTTCAAAAACAGTCAACCTTTTCACTCGGTAGCATCTGCTATTAAAAGGTGATTCCTCCACTGTATTGACGCATAAAACCCAGGCTGCAGATGTACAGTGACAACAGTAGATGTATGATGTAGATGTATGCCTGGGTCAAAATACAAAACGTGCTCATTCTGGTGGGAAAAATGTTTAAATATGAGTAGATGGAAATTCAACAACCCTTTTACATACCGTGTAGATGTGGACAGAAACCCAGGTCTGTGAAATTGTAGACCACAATGGTACAGCTTCTGCTCATGGTATCTCTAGGAAGCTGCCTAATCAAAGTGCTGGAGGGAACCCACTGAATGACCAGGCCAAAGCATGGTCATGATTCCACGGCTCTCTCCTCTGGACCTGCACAAGCCACAGGCCTGCACCTGTTGTTCATTCAACAACAGCAATGCTTCGACACAGCAAAGAACCCAGAATGGTGTTTCTATTTTTTTTTATTACAAATGTAAGCAATAATTTACATTTTTCTGAAAAACAAAAAACAAACACAAAACAGAAATACGATCGTTTGCACTAAATCTTAAAACAACTCATCTCAGGGAAAAGGGGATCCAACAGGTGAGAAACTTCAACGGGCATCAAACACAACCACTGGAATCACAAGAGTCAAGGAAGGAAACTGCCACGAAGTGGATTACAGCGTTACTGCTTCAAGTTTAAAAGCACAATATTCAAGTGTCATATTTAGAATAATGAAGAAAGTATATTCAGATCAAGGTATATATTTAAGTCAATGCAAAGTGAAACATTTATAGCAAAACGAAACATTCTTACTGAACAGAAAGCAACTGAACTTTTTCCACATCATAAGAACTGCAAGGTGGATTTTTCAGATTGCAATTCAAAAGCAATGCTACAAAAGTTTATTTACGCCATGGAGAAAAAAAATATCTTGTTTATATGAAAAAATTATTGCTTTTAACTGCAAGTTAATTTGTGAACAATGTAGCCTACCATATTGTTACTGTATATTGCATTATACTGCATATGCAATAATAGTGTCCTGTACAAAGTAGCATTGACATTAACAACAGTAGAATATTGTCACACTCCCCTTTTTGGGAAAAGGAGTCTTTTGTATACATGAAGTACAACATGTCAGTAAGCATTCCCAGGTTATACACGGATTGTTTTCGCCCTTTCTGTGACAAGTAGAAATACGGGTTTCCATATGTTTTTAACCTAAGAATGCTTACTGACACGGTGCTGTACTTCACGTATACAAAAGACAAAACACTCGCTCCTTTAGATTATTTTTTTCCCAACAAGAGGAGTGCGACAATATTCTACTTTGCACGGGACAATATTATTGACAATATATTATACAGTACAATTCAACATATAGATTTAATATGGTAGGCAACATTGTTCACAAATTAACTATTGCGCTTAAACACAATAATTTTCTCATATAAATGAGATACTTCTCTTATAAACACAAAAATGATGTCGTATAAACAAGATAATTTTTTCCCCTGTGGTGCTAATAAGCTTCTGCACAATGCATACAATACTATGAATTCAGTGAAATTTACTATATTTTAAATTTTATAGTGTTCTTCTTAAAAAATCCATAAAAGTTGCATCAGCATGGAAATTAAATCAAGAAGTTGAATCTACTCAAATTCTATTTCTCAGTTCATCTACCATAGATAAATGTGCATGATAGACTCAACACAAATGTTTCTCTACATTATGGGACTAAAACTAGATTCACGCAACACAATGAAAATTAAGTGTATAATATTTTTACAATTTGTCTTGCAAAGGATAAACCTAATTACAATCAATCACCCTAGGTGTATTTTTAAAACTGAGATCATATTTCTATTTGAACTGAGAGGGGTTGAAATCCATACTATACTAAAATGTTTGGATCTGTATTCCTTTAGGAAAATGTCAAGTGCACAAAGTTAGCTACAGAACTCAACTGTCAGGCTGACTGATATCATTCCAAACAAAAGGATACATCTCTTTGTTCTTTTCTTGTACATTATTCGGTAACCACACTCTCTGCATCTGATGGGGTCCCTCGCTTTAATTTCATTTTCTGTGTGACATTCTGAAATGACATATGGAAAAAAGAACAACAGCACCATATTGATTAATGACAGACTTAAGAGTTTGGACACAGGATCACAAACTCCTAAAAAGTAAGCTTGTCAAGTTAAATGCAGTTACACTGTGTTTGTAAACATCCACAAATTTAGTCAAAAGATAAGAAATGTAATAGTCACTGGAATGGTGTTAAAAGATAAGGAAAATAAGTTTAATTGGCACACTACTGAGCATTCAGTAACATCAACAACACTAAAAAATGTAAATCATTAAAAAAAACTCATTATATATTTTTTTTAACTTTAATGTAAATGGTCAAAATAAAATCCACTATAGCATTCATTATGCCCATCGTAATGTAGTCAAGCTCAAGTATTTTAAATTAAACAAATGTAACTTACAAACAAGTGTTGTAAAAGAGTAAGACACATACCTAAAAACCCTGTACTGTATTTACGATATAATTGTATTTTTCAGGCTCTGTCAATACAGACCCCCCAAAGAGCGTCTGAAAAAATGATTTTGATCCCACTGATGCTGTGCAACTCAGTATTTAAGGGAACAGCTTATTGAGTCTAATTTCTATTTTTACTATTCTACACTCTACCAACACGACACAATACAGCGTGAATGCAGACCCTGACCAACTGTCTGGGGCATATTTGGATTTAAAGGATGATGTTTATTCGGTTAATAAAAAGTAATTACCCTTCGTAGGGATGTATCGATAAAGATCTTAACTAACAACAGACATTTTCTCGAACAGTGTCCCTACTGGACGTTTCTGGACGTGTTTGCGCGACCACCATTACACGCACACAAAACGAATTACCTCCACAAATGTAGATCATGGGCTGTTGTTTGGGAGGCTGCAAATCCTTCTGTGAATCCATTTTGTAATGTACTGAAACAGAAAAAAACAAACCACGTGATAAAGAAATTTCGTTTTAGATCACTATGTAGCCACCTACTACCACTGTTTCATCTAACATTGGAAACGTGTAGTTAACATAGGTTATACGCTACACAACACACAAACAGCTTACTAAGAGTTGAAATCTATACACGTTCAACAGGTAAGACACAAAGATGACATAAGAATATTTTGGAAGAAAACATAAAAAATAAACCGTACACTTACACAATTAACTACGTTCAGATTACTGTAGTTGCGTACCACGATTGCTTACTGCACATGCGCATTCCTCTATTGACCTACCATTCAACGCAAAGCCTGATTGGACCACAAAGACCTCACTGTCCATTGGTTAGTTTGGTTAGTTCAAGATGGGCTATGTATGAGATATCGAAGTTAGATTTTTATTTTGTAACATTAACATGACATCGGGTCATAATGTAGAATTTTTATCTTGCGGGAGAAATATGAACTCTTTTTTTGTATTGTATTACATCACAAAACAAACAGCACCTCTGAGGGAGGTTAATTTTGTTGTACTTTTGTACTAATAATTGTGTGATGAATCTGAGGTACTGTATCTGTGGTCTGATGATCATGGCAATTAAAATGAATGCGAAAACGTTCAAGACTAAAAGCACGCTTATAAAAATGTTGCAATAGATTTCAGAATTGGAAAGTACACAACTTTACTAACGTATTTTGAATAGAATATACATCTAAATCTGTAACATATCTTATCATGGGCTTGTCATATTTGTAATTTCTTACCTGGAGAAGTTTTTTTCTTTAAACAATAAGATGAACTGTGGAGTTTGTGTGTGTTTTTTTTATATAACATTTAAGAAATACAAGCGAAAGTAATAGATCACTATTTAATATGCTCTTTTATTGTGCGAATTACGGTCGTAGAGTGTGGGAGTCACGTATACTTCATATAGTATGGTAACGTGAGCGAGACATCTCGACCAATCGCAGGCTGGAGCACAGAATTTGAACGTGCAGCTGGGCGGCTCTCGGCTGGGGTTTTTTTTTTAAGTTTATGTTTGGGTTTTAATGAAAATGGGGACGCTTTCGTAGATTTTCTCTCACTCCTCGAGATCTTTGTTTATAAGTCTGTAAGTAAGCTTTTTCTTCTATCGAATAATGGTAAAGCAATCGTTTTACTGTGCTGAGAACTGAAATGTACGCTAAAGGGTTGCACTAGCAACAGGGTTGTAGCTTGTGACTGTCGTGGGAGAGGGTGGTCCGTCTTGGGTTACCACACCAGTGGGGTGAGCTCCTGAGAGTCCGTACGAAAACACTGTTGGTAAAATAAACGTATATTCCTTAATTCAAAGTCCCCCGGCGGAACGGTTTAAAAACTGAAAGCTCACGGTTGCAAAATTAAGATTCGGTATCCGCGGGTTAGCCCAACAAAACGGTATGGTACGCCCTCGAAAACCAACTCGTGGCTCGGTTTGTTTGGTGTAATACGCCTCATTCGAAACCGGCATATCTGATGCAAGTATTCTGAAATATTGTTTTGGAAAATATCGTAGTGCCTGTACCTAGTACAGATCCACATGCCGTTATGTTCTAATCCGAACATCTAGTGTACGGTTCTGTTTAATTTAGTTTCACGTTAGCTGTGTTTCCCTTTCACGCGAGTAGTACTCTCCCTGTACTGGGGTGCCTGTGTTTGTGCTGTCTCCCCGTTTTCGGGCTGAGGCAGGAGAGGGAACAGGAAGTGTGGCGCTGTGCATCTGCTGTGTGAATGTGTGCCCTGTTCCTGGCCTACACCCATGCTCAAAGACATAAACACTCGCTACATGTCGAGTAATTCGCCTTCGTCAACACCAGCGCTTACACGTCCGCCTTGTTCTACTATAAGAAATCCTGATTTTGCGTGGTGTTATTGACTTGGGCCCCTCTATTTCTACGGGCAGCTGTCACTTAACTACCAGCAGAGGAAGCAGAAAGATCTCGAGTCTGAAGTCCTCGTATCTGGTGTGAGGTCTAATCGACTGAGTGCGGCTAGCTGGTTTTATGTATTCCTTCAATTCTGCCGTTTGCTCTCTTTAATTAAAATCTTCTCCAAATGCAGCTAAACGTTTGTGGAATTGATGTAATAGCTCGACTTGAGATGCCCGTAGGTAGGAATTTATACTTCATCTTGAGGTGATAAAAGATACTATTCAAATTTCTCATCTAGAAATGCGCAATCGGATCAACTATTGTCGTCGACCCCGTAGTACGGCTTTAACGACGTCGTCCTTGTTTCTGAGCGACCGATGCTGCGAAGTGGAAAAAGGGATCATGAAATGTATCCCTTATTTTGTCTTGAGCAAATAAAAATGAATTTCATTAATTGAAACAAAGAAAAAGCTAACTTTCAGACCTGTGGAAAACTAATTAAACGGTCTTCGGGGAAACTGGTTTAAAAAAAAACACCTCAAAAAAACGCTTTCCTACTGGGTATGTCGGTTTTTCCTTAGTAAAGCGACGCTAGGGATTTAAATGTCCCGGACAGACAGGGGATTTAAATTCTGCGCAGCATGGTCACCACGCAGCCGCACTCGTGGGGGGGGGGGGAGAGGACTTCCGGCAGCTGGCTTGGCGCTCCGCGAGGCCGGTTTGTGCGGGCGAATGAGACGCGCTGCGCCGGCACGGGCGCCGAGTTTGAAAGTGCGCGAGGGAAGGAGGGGAAGGGCAAACCGAAGCCGCGGCGTGAGCGTCGGGAATAACCATGGCAATGCCGGCACGAGCGCGGGTTGCCATAGCCGGTGTCGAAGCCACATCTGGTGTGGGGGGAAAAAAAAACAAGCCCAGTCTGTGAGACCAGCTCTTTCCTAAACCCGTCGCCCACATATAGGAAGCTGAGCACTCATTTTCTTCTTCCCCTCGGTAGGGTATTACATTTAAAACCGTCTCAAGTGAAATCATCTTTACCAGAGAGACTGACGTCAAATTCTCCTGAGTTTTTCTTTTTAGGTAGGCAAGGATATTCCAATACAGTAGCCGTTTCAGTTTTAATTAAGATGAATCGACTTTTTCTTTTTAAAAGGCTTGGTATACGATTTCTATTTCTTTAACCCGCTGACAAGGAGATGTTGGGTAACTGTCACGTCGACCATTTAAACGTGAGTAGTTCTGGAGAGAGTTTGAGGCAGTGAATAAGGATGTTCACCGGCGGCTTTAGAAATGGGAAACGTTAAAAAAAATAAATTGTTGGTCTCGGTTTTTCACTGAAGAGCGCTAAACATGAGAAACCGCTTTATTAAACGGTTTCACTGGAAATCTGACAATAGAGGCGGCAACAGCTAAGTGAAACGTCGTTGACTAACACGTAACGATAGAGGGCGCTGTCCAAGAGGCTTTATTAATAATAATTAATAAATTATTATTTATTA